AGGATTCTCACAAAGACCGGGGATAGATTATGAAGAAACATACTCCCCTGTGGTGGATGCTAAGTCTGGCTATATAAAGGAAAAGACTTGATTTGCGGCTAATGGATGTAATGCCTGCATATTTATATAAGTCCACTGGATGATATATATGAGATTACCAGAGGGTATTGAGCTCAAAGATAAAGATAAGAAAGGGTCTCGAGACCAATACTGCATAAGGCTGAACAAATCGCTTTATGGACTGAAACAAAGTGGACGCATGTGGTACAATAGATTAAGCGAGTACCTAGTCAGAGAAGGTTATAAGAATGATCCCATCAGTCCATGTATCTTCATAAAGAAATTTGCAAACAAAGGGTTTGTGATAATAGCAGTATATGTGGATGATTTAAACATCCTTTGAACCTCTGGGAAATCGCCCAAACAGTCGAATATCTAAAGAAAAAAATTCGAGATGAAAGACCTAGGCAAGACAAAATTCTGTTTGGGATTGCAACTTGAGTACGTGAATAATGGAATCCTTGTGCATCAAAAGGCATATACTGAAAAATTACTCAAGAGATTCAATATGGACCAGGCCCACCCATTGAGCAGCCCAATGGTGGTGAGAAGCCTTGGATTGGATAGTGATCCATTCGGTCCGAAGAAGGATGAGGAAGAAGTTCTCGATCCTGAAATGCCATACCTTAGTGCCAAAGGAGCGTTAATGTACTTGGCTAGCCACACTAGACCAGACATATGTTTTGCCGTGAACCTCCTTTGTCTAAATTTAGTTCATGATAAACCCAAAGGCACTAGAAAGGTTTGAAGGAAGGTTTGGTTAAATTTTAAATTCTATTCTTCCTATGTTTGTTTATTTGGGTTTTATTCTATACTGATCTAACCAAAGAAGGTCTAGTTTGCTTTGGTTTAGTTTGTTTTGCTGATGCAGGTAAAATCAGATTATGGCATGGTCAATAAATAGGAACTACGTGTGGCTTGATCCCTTCCAAGGGTACGTAGGCAGTCTTCTTCAAGGCGCAGCTACTACAACATCAAAGACCATCATATGAGGAGACAACACAGCCTGTATCGCTCAGCTCAAGGACGGCTACATCAAGGGAGATCGGACGAAGCACATCTTAACAAAATTCTTCTTCACGCATGACTTGCAAAGGGATGGAGAAGTTCGAGTGGTGCAAGTTCGATCCAGCGACAACTCAGCCGATCTCTTTACCAAGGCATTACCGACATCAACATTGAGGAAGCTCACGCACCAGATTGGGATGCGGAGACTTAAGGACTTACAGAGATGACCAAATCAGGGGGAGTAATACGTGCTGTACTCTTTTTCCTTCACCGTGGTTTTATCCCAATGGGTTTTCCTGGTAAGGTTTTAATGAGGCAGCATCCCCCAAGCGTATTACTGAGATCCTTTGGCATCTACACGGTTATGTCATCCAAGGGGGAGTGTTATAAATTACATGTTGGATGGACTCCATAACCGTGGGCCTTATCCATATTTTAGAAGGCCCATGTCCATGTCCTAGAAGGCCCATGCCCATGTTCTAGAAGACTCTCCTTATGACGGCCTATATTGTACTTAGTGGGCTTTTGGGCTTTAGGGTTTACTAGCCCAATGGGGATTTGTCTCCCCTCTTTATGTATATATATGTATCGAAACTTCATTCATTAATCAATAGAACAACAAGTTTTATAACAGATTGACCATAATCCTTTATATATTATTGATTGTCCCATCAAACTTCCGATGTGGGACTTGGATTGTATCTCCAACAACAACGATCTAAAAAAGCAAAGTATAAATCACTTTGAGAACGTATATTTGGCAATTTCGTCAGCACATTGTTCCCATCTCTTCCTTTAAACCTAAAGATCCCATTTTTAAGATCAAGTTTTATGGGTTTGCTTGTAATAATTAAAAAAAAACATGAATTTGGCCAGACACAAAAAAAAGGTACTTACTACCTTGTCTGTTTCGAAAACTCATTTAATATATTGTGAGATCAAACTAATTTACTCATGTGTTATCAACAATAACAATCGTACTGGGTGACTAAATACAATAATGAGACGCACAATATCAAATTGGGCCCTCCTCCATTGAGTGATACGAACGAAAGTCGCTTTACAAAAACACCTAAAATAAAATAATGTCAAAAAATCCATGACCACGTGGACGGTGGAGATTAGTTTCTCGATTTGTATAAGAACGTTGAACGGACAGAGATATTTTCGAAGTGTGAAGGAAGACATGAAAAACCCAAAATCGTGAAAATTCATATCTCCTCCTCCATTGATCATTCCTCTTCCTCTGAGATGTGGAGCTTTGCCTGGTTAGTACCGTTGGTACTATCTCTGCTTAAGGATAGCATCATAATGGGCAAGTCTGCGGCGATTCTCCTCCCTAGTCAAACCGGATTTGATATTTCTCGGAGTCCGGTATGCTCCGCGCCGGATCCGAACCTCAATTACAGGCCGGTTATTGGGATTCTGAGCCATCCTGGTGACGGTGCGTCGGGTCGTTTGAGCAATGCTACAGACGCGTCGTCCATTGCGGCTTCGTATGTGAAATTAGCTGAGTCTGGTGGAGCACGTGTGATCCCACTCATCTATAACGATCCTGAAGAAATTCTCTTTCAGGTTACTCTTATTTAGCTCAGTCGATTCTGGATTCTCTTCTAAATTAATCGAGTTTTAGATCTTGTTAAGTTTGTTTTAGCATAAGAATTTGATTTACGTGTTGGAACCGCAGAAGCTAGAATTGGTCAACGGTGTGATACTCACTGGTGGTTGGGCTAAAGAAGGATTGTATTTTGAAATCGTCAAGAAAATCTTCAATGTAAGCTGAAACGTTTTTTCTTGGTTGAATTGAACTACAATGATCTTACTCATATCTATATGATCCTCTCAGAAAGTTTTGGAAAGAAATGATGCTGGAGAGCATTTTCCTATATACGCTATTTGCCTCGGATTTGAGCTCTTGACAATGATCATAAGTCAGGTGACCCTTTGTTCTTGCTTCCCATATATGTTTGTTAAGCTATCTAGTTAAGTCCTACTGGATTTTGTGAAGTTTAACACCATCTGAATACTGGAATAATCTGTATAAATAACAAGTAAGAACCTTCCTTCATTTGTTCACGCTGTCTATTAGGCAAGCAGCGACACTGAAATTATCCATATACTATACTATATAGTATGTATTAGAGTTTGAAATATGCAAGCTCTGTTGAAAATCTTTAAAATGTGGCCTTGTAACAGAACAGAGACATTTTTGAAAAAATGGATGCAAGAAATTCTGCATCAAGTCTTCAGTTCCTTGAAAATGTTAATATCCAAGGAACCATTTTCCAAAGGTAAATGCAGCTTTTCATCATGTGTATATACTAATACCAAAAATATTAGTAAAATACTTCATATGCAATTTGTTATGTCTCATAATGCAGATTTCCTCCAGAACTGTTGAAAAAACTCGGTACAGATTGTTTAGTTATGCAGAACCATCGGGTTAGTATTTGCAACCTCTAATTTGTCTTTACAGTTATACTATGGAATATAGTTGTCACCATTTTTGTTGCTAAACATACTTATACATAGTTTTGTTGGCCTCTACAATTAAGCAACTTTTCTTGCACACTTCTTTTCTATCTTGTTCTTGAATGGTTATTATCCTCGGTTCTGTCTGCTTTCTGATATGAATTGTCATTATTTCCAGTTTGGTATCTCACCAGAAAGCTTTGAAGGCAATGTTGCTCTGTCCAGTTTCTTTAAAATCGTCACAACATGCGTTGATAACAACAACAAGGTATTTTTATGTCCCCAAGAATACCTAAAACGATTTCAGAGCCTGACCTTATAGAACATATCTATTTATATATATTTCCAGGTTTATGTTTCAACAGTTCAATCAAAAAAATATCCAGTGACCGGCTTCCAGTGGCATCCCGAGGTATATATACACTCACTAATTAACTTACGTCTCTCATTTAGTCTTTTCACGCCTAGGGAATATCTTACCATCTCTGTGCAATATTCTGCAGAAAAATGCATTCGAGTGGGGATCATCCAAAATTCCACACTCTGAGGACGCGATCCAGGTGACTCAGCACGCAGCAAATCATCTAGTCAGGTTAATTCTCTATTCATTGTTTTGTAAGAATTGATAGGATAGTGCATCAACTCTGATTGCTACATTAGTAGAGTAGAACATTAGAATCAGTATAACTGAGAGTTGGTTAGATAATGAAGTAGTCATTTCTCACGGATAGGTAAGAACACTCGTAATTTTTGTAGCAAAATCTCATGGATTGAGTTCAAATGTGGTGCAGTGAAGCTAGGAAGTCACTGAACAGGCCGGACTCTAAGAAAGTGCTGAGTTATCTCATTTATAGCTACAAGCCTACCTACTGTGGATACGCAGGGTATAGCCACTCGGACAATCTTTACATAATTCTTTCCTCTTCTTCTCCTTCTTTTTTTTTTTTTACCGTAAGTCTTAACGATTCTTTGGATCGAATAAAATGGTGGATTTTGCAGGAATGGTTACGACGAGGTTTACATCTTCACACAACAATGATCCCTTCTCTAATAACTTCAACCTCTCGTGTGTATAGTGAATATGCATCTTCAACTCTGTTATTATCTGTGAACTTGTTGTAACTTTGAACGTCAGCCTATGGCATGTGTTCGACATTAAATTAGAAAATGTATGACTCTCTATCTATAGTCTATTCATAGAAAAATAAAAATAAAAACTCGTATATGTTTACTCAGTATTAATAAGATAAAGAATCTATGTTTTGTTACATAAAACTTTTGTTATTTAATATAGAAGATGTGACCAGTCTGTTTCATCTTTCAAGACATTTTATAAGATTCGAGTTCTGTTTCTAGAAGAAAATATATTTACAGTTTCTTTAACCTAAAATGATCATTACAAGAAAATATATTTGTAGGGCTTAGTTAGATGTTTAATATATGGGCCCATAATATCTATATGTTGGGCTCAACAGAATCCCAATGGCCTGATAACAAATTGAATGGTCTTCATTGCCAACCGACAATGTAAAACTCTAACTAGGAAAACTTCCCGGTTTATTCCTTAACCGAAATATACGAGCCAAATTCGACTGTTCAGCTTCATCGCTTTGCACTGTGTTGTTCTCTCTCCCGATGAATTCCTCCCCAGCAAGCTTCTTCGATTTCCCTCTAACACCAATCGTCTGGTCTCGTTTCTAATCGTAAGTCTTCTTCCTTCTCTATGTTTTGTTTCGGTGTCAATGTAGATCGTCTTAGGAGGAATCAAGTAAAAGAAATTGATAAACCCTAATTGTTCCGTTCTATCGTTAAAACTTTCCTAGATTAGTCTAAATTAGGAAAATAAGTCTATCTATGAAACCTTTGCATCGAATTTTGTCTCAGATATCAGAACCGGCCCTGTATGATTTGTCGTAGCTTGAGCTTCTGTTATGATTTGTTGAAGGGAGGGAACTTTGAAGCTTGCATTTCTTGGGAATAGGCATAAATGGGGAGGGTAATGGATTGGGCAGCAAGATCTGATCATTTGGGAGGACTTCCAAGGAAAACTATGATAATGGCTGTTAGTGCATTTGCAAAAGCGGTAGCGAATCTTTGTAACAAAAGCTCAGTTCACAATGCAGATACTCTTATGAATCTTGTCCGGTCAAGACCACCGGGTGTTCCTCTCATCACTGTTAGTAATCACATGTCAACGTTAGTTAATATTGAAACCTCAATAATATGATCCTTTCTTGATGTCATCGCTTTCCACTCATTTGTATTTTGATGTTGTTTTATCTTCTTTGTTGTAATCAGTTTGGATGATCCAGTTATGTGGGGGGCATTCAAGGGTCTCCTTTCCTTAGATCCAGAATTGGCTCGGTGGGTTCTTGCTGCGGAGGACATATGTTTCAGGAACCCTATCTTCTCCTACATTTTCCGCACTGGTATGTCACATTTTTTCTTTGCTGCTTCTTCTCTAGGGAAAGACTGTAATCTGTGTATTATTCTTGTTTTGTATTGATTAGGCTTATGTCGGAAGGACGACAACTTTTTTAGTTGATTTGGTGGATTGCCTTCTTAACAAAATAGGATTTACTCGTGACGAATGTTAATGATTTCTTTTGAGCAGGAAAATGCATACCTATAACCAGAGGTGGTGGAATCTACCAAGAACACATGAATGAAGCTCTCCAGCGATTAAAAGATGGATCTTGGGTAAGTTATCTTGCACATTTAAACAAATTCTGAGGTTTTTTGGGTCCTTTTCTGACCTCTAACCTTTGGATTTAACCATGACTAGTAGCTGCATACCTTTCCAGAGGGAAAGGTGTTTCAAGAAGATGTTCCTATAAGACGACTAAAATGGGGAACTGCAAGCCTCATCGCCCGTTGCCCCGTTACCCCAATCGTCTTGCCAATAATTCACCGTGGTTTTGAGGAGGTAACTAGTCCAGGTTCCTTCTAAGTCTGCTTAACTCATTCGTTTAAATTCAAATTTCATATGCTACACGATCTTACTGCAGTCTATAGCTAATGCGTGCATCAAAGAGAATAAGCCATGAATTATGCATCCATTTTCCAAAATTCGAATTTCTACGAGATAGCATTATTTTTTCTTTCGAAGGTCACTTACCCACATTGTTGTGACGACTTAGATGTTGCCGGAGAACTACAACAATGGACGAAGACCACTGGTACCACTGTGCAATAAAGACCTTAAAGTTGTGGTTGGTGAACCAATTGAGTTTGATGTTCCCATGATGGTTGAGACTGCTGTCTTGGCCTCCCGCCATGTAACCCCTCCTCTTCAAGAATCGAAATGGCCTGTCCTCACTTCTGCTGGCCAAGAGCTAGACGAAACTGCTCAGAGATGCCTCTTCATAGCTCTTTCCGAGAAAATCCAATCCTCCTTGGAAACATTGAGACTCTTAGCCAAGCGATTGTGACCTCCGCCGGGAAACTTCAAATCAGAATCCGGTTCATAATTTTTTAAGTTCCGGTTAAGATCCGCAATGGTAATCAAATATTATCTTTATTTAATTTTCTGAAGCTGATAAAAAATTATATAAGTATGATAATTAAATAACTCGCATTTTAATTTATTTTATCGACTAGGATATATAGCAACCCGCAATAATGAATGTTATATCTTATCAATATCTTATCATTATAGCCAGAATTCAGTAAAAACTAAATTAGCGACAATAATCGAATATAAAGCATCAACAAAAATTTTGACATTTGTGTGTGTTGATATCTCTGTGTTAATATAAAAATAAGTAAAATTACATTTGTATAAGACCGTTTTTTGTGTTTGTTCTGGAACGCCGATGATCTGGCCAGTTCTGTCTTTCTGCTGATGATGTTCGACAGAAACAGCATTAAACGACCAGTTTGAACAGAGAGAGAAGGTTCTGATAAGAGAGACAACGTGGGTGGCAAACATACGCGGCGGCCACGTGAGCCTATCGAGCCACCGGTGCGGCGAGTGGTGCTTACGCGAATGCAAAAAATCAGTTAATGGGCCCTACAGGGTCACGCCGGGGACGCACTATCACGTGAAAAGGAAACTTCCAAGGTCAGCCAAAACGGTCTCGTGGCATTTTCGTAAATCGGATCACGTTTTAGGGGTATACACTAGCTCTTGCACGTGGTAATGGTGTTCGTTGTGTGGCAAAATTGGTAAATTAAAGCCGAATCGCGGGGCAATGGTATATGCTCCCACGTGCTAGGTCCGGAGGACATGCGTGACCTCATGTAGTGGTAATTTCGTAAATATAGGGTCAAATCTCGGGCAAACAAGGTACTTCAAATTATTTGTTTTATTTTGGATGAAAGTTAATAACTCCTCTTCTCTGGCACGAGAGAGTTGATGATTAGCTTAAGCTCCTTCATCTTCTTCTCCAATTCCCGGATTTTTCTTCTTCTTCTTCCTCTGATCACCGGAAAATTCACCTCTTTCGAATTCGCCGAGCATCTTGATCCGCCGCGTTCATCTTAAACTACCTTTTTCCTCAATTCGAGAAGGTGAAGCAGCCAACAAGTTACTGCAACTATTTTCCACGATTTTTTGCTTTCCTCAAGATTCTCGCCGTCGGATTTTTCTCGGTGAGAGCATTTCTCTCCGACGGAAAATCCAAGTTGCATATCTTTTCGGAGATTGGAAAGTGTTGGTGCACGAAGTGTCGATTCGTTTGTTTTCTTATGCCAGATCTGATATATATTGCTTGAACCGAAGATATAGGAACTCTTTCTCGGGTTGAGTTAGCTCGAGTTTGCTGCGAATTGTCTCTTTGATCTACCTGAAGAAACAGAGAGTAGTGATGACGTCGGGGACGAGAATGCCGACATGGAGGGAGAGAGAGAACAACAAGAGGAGAGAGAGGCGACGGAGAGCAATCGCAGCAAAGATCTTCACAGGATTAAGAATGTACGGTAACTACGAGCTTCCGAAGCATTGCGACAACAACGAAGTGCTTAAAGCACTCTGCAACGAAGCTGGTTGGATCGTCGAACCTGATGGAACTACTTACCGCAAGGTTTGCCTCTCCAATCCGGATCTCATTTTTTGTTCTTTATACACTTGAAGAACATGGAAATTTTGAATTCTGGATACAGATCTTTTTGTTAAAAGATCAATTACTGATTGCATCTAACATGCGCCGGAGCGGATAAGTCGCCGGATTGCTAACGTGTTCCTCTGCGTAGGTTAGCTAGCCTTAGAGGAGCGTTTAGTCAAATGTTAGATTCTTTTTCTGTGACTTTTTTTTTTAATGCGTTTCTCTAAAAGCAGATTCTTTCTCTCTCTGTTTCATGGTGTGTGTGTGACTGATTCACTTGTGTCCAGGTCTAGTCTATTCTCAGATGATACCCACCTACAAATAAAAAGAGTAGCATAGATCTCAATAAAAACTGATAAAAACACAATGTCCTCTTGCACAGAATTCAAAGTGTACGTTTTGATCTGTAGATTTTTTGGGAAACCAAGTTGGCACTTTTGCTTTTATGTCTCAAGTCTTTTTACTCAAACTTCGAGAATCGAGTCCAATGATAATCTGTCGGTTCACGAATCCTTGACCTGATCACTGTCTATTTTCAGTTGTTTTCACATTGATAGAATAAAAACTAGTTCTACTTGTAAGCCTTATTATCACTAACACATTCAACAGAGTAATTTCTTGGTAATTCATGTAATTACAAGGATTATGTCCCATTGATCATTTTTGTTTGATATGTTTTCAGGGATGTAGTAGACCTGTAGAGCGTATGGAGGTAGGTGGCGGTTCAGCAACCGCTAGTCCTTGCTCCTCCTATCAGCCAAGTCCGTGTGCTTCTTATAATCCTAGCCCAGGCCCCTCCAACTTCATGAGTCCTGCTTCATCCTCATTTGCTAATCTTACCTCTGGAGACGGCCAATCACTAATCCCCTGGTTGAAACACCTCTCAACAACATCATCCTCATCAGCTTCTTCGTCATCAAGACTCCCTAATTACCTCTACATCCCTGGAGGCTCCATAAGCGCTCCTGTAACCCCTCCTTTAAGCTCTCCAACAGCTCGTACCCCGAGGATGAACGCTGATTGGCAACAACTCAACAACTCCTTCTTTGTCTCCTCAACACCGCCAAGTCCCACGCGACAAATCCCTGACTCTGAATGGTTCTCAGGGATTCAACTAGCACAAAGTGTTCCAGCTTCACCAACGTTTAGCCTCGTCTCACAAAACCCATTCGGATTCAAAGAAGAAGCAGCCTCTGCTGCTGGAGGGGGAGGCGGGTCAAGGATGTGGACACCAGGTCAAAGCGGAACTTGCTCACCGGCTATTCCTCCTGCTGCTGACCAGACAGCAGATGTTCCAATGTCTGAAGCCGTGGCTCCTCCAGAGTTTGCTTTCGGGAGTAACACAAATGGGTTAGTGAAAGCATGGGAAGGAGAGAGGATACACGAGGAGAGTGGTTCAGATGATCTTGAGCTCACCCTTGGAAATTCAAGCACCAGGTAACTCCAACCCACATGTACATTTTCAAACCCGGTTGAACCAAAACCGTTCTTGATATATGTTTCTCCAATTTTTATTTCAATTGTTCTCTTCCCATGTAATGCTCAAAGTTGAAACACAGCTTATAATATTCGTTTCTCTGTCCCCGACGACCGTGATCTTCTCTTCCTAATATTGTACCCAGTGGCGGACCTAGAAATATTTATTAGGGGGGTCAAAATATCACTAAAATAATTAATAATTTTTAAAACAATAAAAAAGCAAAAAACACTTTAAAAAAAACACATTTTAGGTTCAATATTTATGGGTGAAGCAAACAAAAAAGGTAAAAATATGTGATGAATTGTATTAAAAAAAGTAAGAAGTAAAAAACTATTATAAAATTTAAAGGGTTTAAATACAAATTAATAATTTTTAGAGGGTCATAACAGAAGAAATATAAACAATACTATGAATCTTAAAGGACTGTAACATAATTTCAGAATTTTAGGAGGGTCAAAAGAGAAAGAAATATAAACAATACTACAAATCTTAAAGGACTATAACACAATTTCAGAATTTTAGGTGGGTCAGCTGACCCCCTTTAAGTCTTAGTGGATCCGCCCCTGATTGTACCCTTGTCAAAATTGTGATTGAATCCTATCACTGCCTATTTTTGAACTGTCTTGTTTCCCAACCCTCCCGGTTTAATAGCTAACGTAAAACCCCGGTTTGAATGGTTCTGTCAGACGGTTTTTGTGTACACTGTCAATAAAGACTCATAGTCAACCAAGTAAACTATGTTATTGTTCTATAGCATTATCATGGTTATTAGTAATAACCTTAGTCAACAATGAACGCTTCAACACGACGAAATAAGGAAGGTTTTTGCAGTGACAGAGGAGTCTCTGTTTATAACGGCTACAGATTCCATATTCTGACATAGTGACATGGGCTCGATTTTGTTCGTCTTGGTCCTTACGACTTCTTTTTTTGTAATTCACAAAGGAAGGTGGATGACGATAGTGTATCCATATTCGCTATAATCATCACATGGAAGACAACACAAAGCTTAGGTCGTGGTCAATGCACGTACGTATAACTGAGGGATGGCCACATGCTATCCATTAGTATTCTGCCACGTGGGATTAGTAAATAAATTATTGAATTTATCCCTACCATTTTATTAACACCAGCAAAAAAAAACATTATATGTTTATTATAGATTGAAATGACAAATAAATAACAATCTCAGTAACCAGTTTCATTTGAGAACAAAATTCAAAATGTATCCATTCAATAAATCAAATCAAATAGGGGATGCGCCTTTAGTCAAGTGGTTAACTCCATTTGACTCCGTCTTCCTTTCGGAGTTCGACTCCACTAAATCGCGTTACCCCGCGTAGTAGGGATTGACTATGGATCGGGCCTTGTCGATCCAAAGATGTCAAAAAAAAAAAAAGTAAATCAAATCTAATTTAATTCTGTAATATTACAGTATGTTGTTTTATTGTTATGCAAGATGTCACCACCAATTGGAAGACTCCGAATTCAAGTGAAATTAAACGTATGAAATTTCAAAACTCTGATTTCGTCCTTTTTTATATTTACAAAGACGGTTTTTAAATATAGTCTCAATTTATCGTATTTTACTGGATCTACCCCAAGAGGAATACTTTATACATAAGGCCATAAAGTATTGCAAGAGAGTTATCTTCTAGTCCAATTAACCAAAAAAGAAAGAGATTTTTTTCTTTGATTATATTGACTACTCAATAAAAGGTTTTTATTACCTTCCCCAAATCATAGATATTTGGATATTTACGTATATCTTAAAGTCGCGCGAATGCGTGTATTTATGTCTACAAATGCAACAATTTGACCCTAAACTTCTAGCAAAAAACAAAAACAAAGAAACAAAAACATAAAAACAAAAACAACAAAAAAACAATTTGACCTTAATATATATCATATTGTTACATCGCCTCTTCTGATTAAGAAAATGAATTTCCATCAGGTCCTCTTTCTCATTCTTCTTATTTTTCTTGTTGATTTATCAGATTACAATGTCTTAGCAGATAACACCGATGCTGGTTACAAGAACACGTCAAAGTGTAACATTTACCAAGGACGTTGGATTTATGACAATTCTTCTAATCCTCTTTATGGAACATCGACTTGCCCATTCATCGGATTGGATTGCCAGAAGTTTGGTCGGCCGGACAAGAACTACCTCCATTACCGATGGCAACCCACCGGATGCGACATCCCAAGGTGATAATCACTTTCATTTCTGTAAATAAATTCCACATAACTTGATCGATGAAGTGTTACAATTTCTCGTTCATTGTCACTTGACATTATGGGAAAGTAATCTTGGAGATTACACATTATCATTTCATATCTAGAAATAATTGGTTGGAATTTGGAAATCTCAAATACTAATGAAATGTGATATAAAATAAATATTTTTTATTATACAATTATGACTATTTGGCAATATTTGACCATTTTTATCATTGCATATGAATTAACATAAGTTAATTGATTAACATGAGAAATGTTTTGAATCTTTTGTAATTTTCATGATAACATGAGAAATTTTTTTTTTTTTTTTGTTGTAAGTTTTGATCTTCAAAATACAAAGTTGCACAGCAAATTAATAATATTTTGTTAAGAAGTAAGTAAAGTAATTAACGACTGAAATGTACGTGTGGGTATTTTGATGGAACTATGACGTGGCAGATTCGACGGACGAGATTTCTTAAAGAGATTCAAAGGGAAAAAAATACTGTTTGTGGGAGATTCACTAAGCAATAATATGTGGGTGTCTCTAAGTTGCATGCTTCACGCTGCCGTTCCTAACGCTAAGTACACCTTCCAACTCAACAAACGCCTCTCTACTTTCACCATTCCGGTGCGTAACTCAACCGGTTTATTGCTGGTTATTGAATTCGGTTAAATAATCAGGACGATCAATTTCATATATAATTGCTTTGTTTCCCCCATTGATATTATAAATAGGAATATGGAATATCAGTAAATTTCCTGAAAAATGGGTTCCTGGTGGATTTAGTAGCGGACAAAACAAGAGGGTTGATTCTGAAACTAGATTCGATCAGTTCCGGAAATCAATGGTTGGGATCAGATGTTGCCATCTTTAACACATTCCACTGGTGGTCTCACACCGGTCGTGCCAAAACGTAAGTGTTAACCAACGGTCTTATATATGAGCTAAATTAATATATAACATATATATATTCTATAATCCAATGATGATGATGTAGATGGGATTATTTTCAAACGGGAGACCAAATAGTGAAAGAGATGAATAGAATGGAAGCTTTCAAGATTGCTTTAACAACTTGGGCTAAGTGGATTGATCACAACATTGATCCTTCAAAAACTAGGGTTTTCTATCAAGGCGTTTCTCCCGTTCACTTAATGTTAAATCTCTCTTTCTCTACTCTTTCTTTAGTATTATAATAAACTAATTAATTAATCAACAAGACGTACGTAACCGTGTTACTTTGTTTGTGGTTAATTTGAAGTGGTGGTGAATGGGGTAAACCGGGGAAGACTTGCTTGGGCGAGACGGAACCAGTGAAAGGACCAAGTTACTGCGGACAACCTAATGAAGGTGAAGCTATAGTGAGAAGTGTGATCGGAGGGATGGCTAAACCGGTGGAGCTCCTTGATGTGACGAATATGACGGAGATGAGGAAGGACGGTCACCCTTCGATCTATGCCGGTGGAGGAAATCGCTTAAACGACTGCAGCCATTGGTGCCTCCCTGGAGTCCCAGACGCTTGGAACCAGCTCCTTTATACGGCTCTTGTCCGCCACTAGTTTTGCTTGGGATCAAATTTAAATTATAGAATTACGGCCCCAGATGTTTTGATACCTATAAGAAAGTTTGGATTTATAATTTTAAGATAATTAAGCAACTTTTCCAATAGATAATTTTTATGTTTCTAGTTTCAGTCTTGCTTTATTCCCTTTTCTTTTTTTGGCGTTTTGGATAGAATTTTTTCTTGCTTCTTTGTTTTATAGCTGCATTCTAGGTTACTACCTAGACCCACTAAAATTAATCCTAAGAAAGATAACATTATAGAACGATATCTTAAACTTGACTTGTAATGAAAGTTATTGAACTAAAATCTTATAGAACGATAGAAAAAAATCAAAATGACAAGAATTTCCTTTTTTCTGTTAGAGTGAATATATGAATATATGAATATATCCACACATAGCATTCAAAAAAAAAAGAATATATCCACACATTTTTGTTTGAATCATGTGTGCTTCACCATTGGCACGAGTATGTGGAGCTGGACCGAGAATGCTTGTTGGCGGAGTAAAAACTGGAGGTCACGAGTAGAATGGAGGCATCTGATATGGCTGTTGTGGAGGATACGGTGGGTATCCGTATGACATTGGCCATTGAGATGGCCCATACGACCACTGCGACGGACCATACGGACGGGGCTGCCACGAGTTGTTGTTAGAACGCCCCTTACCACGATTGTTCCTGTCACCATGACCGCGATTATTGTTGCCTTTGCCTTGGTGATGTTGGTTTCGTGGCTGTTGTTGATCCGATGTTGTGTAGAGAACAGTCGGAGTGGAGGAATTGTCGGTGTTGCTAGGCAGCGGCTTGCTCTGTTTTGCGAGACGGTCTTCCTCCATGATGAGCATTGAACGGGTAGTAGCAAAAGACGGGAATGGTGTCTTGTGTTTGATGACATTGATGATGTTATCAAATTTGTCAGAGAGACCATTCAGCAGATGCATAACAAGTGCCCGATCAGTGACAGGAGCATCCATATTAGCAAGAAGGTCTGAAAGTGTCTTCAGTTTGTGGCAATAGTCATGAACTTTGAGGTCACCGATGGTCGCTGTCCGGAGTTCACTGTCATACTGCAGCGCGCCTGCGCGCGAGCCTCCTTGTTGTCACGAAAGAGGTTCTCGATGGAGAGCCACAACTCACGAGCGGTGCACTTGGCCTTCATAACGTCATCAAGGAGAGATTCAGACAAGGTGCCATAGATCCACATCTTGACTAGGCCGTCGCGTTCTTTCCAAGCTTTTTCAATTGCTGGAGATGGATTTCCAGTACCATCAATGTGATCGAGAACACTGAAGGTGGTGCAGTGTGTTTCAAGCAACTCGCGCCACACGTCGTAGTTGAATTTTTTTTAGATCGAGGACGATGGGTATGTAAGCTCGGATTTGGGATATCCCAAACGGCTTGTCGGGAGAGGAGGCAGAAGTGATGGTGGACAAGGCAGCGCTTGATGAAGCCATCGAGAAACGAAAGAGAAGAGAAGAGAAGATGTGAGAGGAAGAGATGATCAGCAGAGAAGAGAAAACGATTTTAGAGAAAAGAGATTTTTAGAGAAGAATAGGGATCGGTAGAAAACCCTAATGCTCTGATACCATGTAAGATTCAATAGAGCTCGATTCCCTACTTGTGTTATTGATATCCATATGTATAGTGTTACATAGGAGATCTCATGAGATCAAATGAGAGGATATTTACATATTATACTCTACCTAACAAAGGGAATAATATATATTCATATATTCACTCTAACATTTTTTACCAACAATTAGTTACATAATAATTCTTTTTGTCAAGATTATTTGTTTACTGATCTTATTCTAAATAGTTGTATGTTTTTTTTTAGGTTCATGTTTGTTTGGATACAAAATTACAAACAATGTTTTTAGTTAAACTTTTTTTTTTTTTTTTTTTTTTTTTTTTTTTTTGACATCATTGGATAGACAAGACCCGATCCATAGCTAATCCCTACTACGGGGATAACGCGATTTAGTGGAATCGAACTCCGGTGGGGAAAGCGGAGCCAAATGGACTTAACCACTTGACTAAAGGCACACCCAGTTAAACTAATTTTGTTTTAAAACTTACAAGGAAACTTTTTGGTCTTCAGGTTTTTTCACATTATAATCCCCAAATTTATAAGTTCCCTCGTCTCAGGACCTAAATTCTTTTCCTAGTCTAGTATATACTTCATATTTGGACGCCGCAAGAAAGAAAACGATAACATCAAAAAGATTCAAAACCATCACAAAAGAAGAAAGAAACATAGGTTGACAAAAAAAAAGTAGAATAAACAAACAGACTTGACATTAAGTCCTCAAATACAACATTTTTCTGTTAATGGCCAAAGACTATGACGATCAGAGAATGACAACTTGGCATGAGCTAGAGAGTCTTGGAATGGTAAGGAGTTTCTTGAGGAAGGCAGATTCTTCGTTTCCTCTGAAACTACCTAAGCGTAGTGTTAGTTTCTTGAGGATTGTTGAGTTCTCCAGAAAGTAACTCATTAGTTTCAATTCTGTTGCCTCTTCTTCTACCATTGGCTTTCCTATGTCAATAAACTAAGAGACGGTAGGTTACAATGAGGTTCAGGTAAAATACTAATTGGCTCCTCCCCTGGAGATTTACTAAATCCCTGTAAGTAGGACCAAAGTGTACCAAACAAGTTGAGTATGTGATACTTTCAGTAATTGCATTAATAAGAAAGTAAGTTTATGGTTTCAGTAATCAGTCCTAACCAGAGAGAGATTTTAGATTCGGGCAGCTCTCTAGAAAGACTGGCAACATTTCCCACCTGCAGTCGTCGAAGTCAGCATGCAAGGAAGATAGGTTACGGAATAAGGGTAATCGTTCACATCTTGAGTAGTTACAGATGGCCTGCAAGAAAAACAGAATCAGAGTATAGGTGATAAACGCATTTGAGAGGTAATACAATTTCTCATATGAAAAACTTAAGCATGAACATAGAGAATTCAGCAGATGTTACCTCGAGTGTATACGAAGAGATGTCCATTTCTTTGACATTAGAGATCCCAATGAGAAAATTACGGATCATATTTCTCTTTGGTAGATCATTGGGATCAAACCTCTTTTCGAAAGACAAGTTAAACCTGATGTCGATGGCCATCTTAACGAGGGAAGCCGGATTATTTATTATGAAACTTGCAGTTTCATGACAATATAGCTTGAGATACTCAAGCTTGTGAGCATCTATTGCAACTACTTGTTCTTTATTCATATCTTCGTTACAGTGGCCAACAAGGGTGAAACTCAATAGAGACAGAGAGCACACGCGTAAATAATCTACATTATCACAGGCACTCCTCTCTATAGTTAAGCTTTCGAGAACTGGGCAGCCTGAGATGAGCATTTCGAAAGCCCAATCGTTGGCAAACTTAACCATATCAAGATACATAACTTTGACAGAAGGTAAAGAAACGGACTTGGGATTAATGAAGATCACGTCAGAGAGCTTCAAGGATACCAAGCTCTCACATGTGTAAACTGTTTGAGGTATCTGCAATTCATGTTCCAACCACCTCCCGTCCAGGACATGAAGATGTTCAACTTTCCGCTTAATAACTGTGTTGATCCACCAGGTGACATTAGCATTATCAAGCTCAGTCCAGTTCCATTCGTACTTTCGCCTTAAATATTGGTAGTTTAACTTAAAATTTTGCAGGCAAGATTCGCTGTTAAAACCCAGAAAGCTATCAACAAAGCTCACAAAAGCGTTGTACTCCGGGAAGTCACCATACCCCAAGTCCAAACCAGGTACACTTCTCCAGAGATTTTCCCATCTACTGGATAACACACTAGTCTTAACCACATCTTTTGTGGGAAGATTCAAGAGTACCTGACATAGCAATGAATCTGGTAATTTGCTCAGCCTATCTAGATGACCCCTCCTGTCATCCGAGCGTTTGGCACGCACACGGCTCTCTGCGTCACTCTCTGCGTCTTCAGCCATGTACTCTACCTAGTAAACATCAAATCGGAAAAAAATAAAATAAAAAAAGGGAATCCGGTAAAACTATTTTCGGATGAAGAATCAACTTGGAACGATGAATCTAATAAATAGAAAGAAAGAGAGAGAGAGTACCTGAAGAATTAGAACAGTGTGAGACAAATCGCCGTCGAATTTTCCGGCCAAAGTATCTGCTTTGTCTAATCCAAATGAGTCTCTACCCGTGTCAGTGTCACTGCAGTGGTTGATAAGCAGGCGTCCTTATCGAGTTAGAGACGAGATGGAATATTTTATGGGCCTCACATTATTGGGCTTACAATGGGCTTTTAGGTTTTGGTCGTGTAAGTTTCAACTCAATTTTTTTTCCATTAAGATCCCCAAATTTACAAATTCCCAACTCCAAGTCTCTGTACTGTACTATACTGTCTCAATCAATAAACAGAACGCAACAAGACAAAAGAGAAGGAAACCAATAACATTTATTTTTGGCATAGTACCACCTAAGAGAATCGTGTGTTCACATTAATAAACTTATCAAACAATTAATAAAGCTACGATAATCATGAAAACGATAAAGAAAGAAGAAGCATCGAGTTCAAATAAATAAACTTATCAAAAAATCAAACTTGTGTGTTCATGGGCATCAACGACTATAAGGATCAGAGAACCAAAACTTCGCATGAGGTAGAAATTCTTGGAATGGTAAGGAGTTCCTTGCGAATGAAAGGTTCTCCTGTCTTTCTGGAATCATCCAAGCATAGGGTTAGTTTCTTAAGGATTGTTGATTTCTCAAGAAAGTAGCCCACTAGTTTCATGATCTCCACCACAACCCCTTTCAGTGGCACCTTTATCTCAACATACTCGAGAGATGGTAAGAAACCTTGAGGTCCAGAAAACATACTAATTTCTTTCATATTCTGTTTTTTAGTAGATCCCTGCAAGTACAATCAAGTGAACCAAAACAAGTTGAGTTTATGATATATTCACCATTTAAATTATAATAAAGGTCAGTAAAAAATTCTAACCAAGACAAGGGATTTTAGATTTGGGCAGCTCTCAAGAAAGGTTGGCAGCATTTTCAAGCTGTAGTTGTAGAACTTAACACGCAAGAAAGATAGGTTACGGAATAAGGGTAGTGGTTCACATCTTAAGTAATCATAGATGACCTGCAAGAATAAAAAAAAACTATGAGGAAAAAATTATAAGATAAAGTTAAGCATTGAGATATCCAATTCAACATAGGTTACCTTGAGAGTAATGGAAGAGATGGTCATATTTTTGACGCAAGAGATCCCAACGAGAAAATTATGAATCATACTTCTCTTTGGTAGGTCTCTTGGATCTAAACCGAATGACAAGTTAAACACAATATTAATATCCACCGCAACAAGAGAACCAGAATTTTTTATTATGAAACTTGCAGTCTGATGATCACTGAGCTTCAGATACTCAAGCCTGGGAGCATCAATTACAATTGATAGATCTTCTTCAGCCAAACGCTTGTGCCCAACATGAGTAAAGTAACGCTTGTGCGCAACATGAGTGAAGCTCAGTAGAGATTGAGAACACACTCGTAAGACTTCAACGCGATCAAAGTAACTTATAACTAAGGTTTCAAGAGCAGTGCAGCCTGAGATCAGTGTCTCTAAATCCAAATGGTCGGCGAACTTAACTGCACTTAGCTTGAGAACTCTGAGAGAAGGTAAAGAAACAGACTTGACAGTAGACATGGTTACCGTACTTAGCTTTAAGTATACCAAGCTATTACTAGTGTAGATGCTTGGAGGTATATTAAACGTACCATTCGCCCATGAATAGTCAAAAAACTCGAGATTTTTAACTTTCAGCTGAATGACTGTGGTGATCCACCGCTTCATCAGATCAATTTCAGGCTCACAATTCCCATCACCAGGGTAGCTTAACTTAAAACTTTCTATGTGATACTTCCTATTAAACTTCAGAAATCTATCGACAAATCTCACGTAGATGTAGTACATTTTGATATCCTCACCACTCAAGTCCAATCCAGGAACACATTTCCAGAGATTTTTCCATCTCTTAGATAAAACACTAGTCCTAACCACATCCTTAGTGGGGAGATTCAAAAGTACCTTACATAGCAACGATTCTGGCAAATCGCTTATCCAATCACCATCTCTCTTTCTTTTCCTCGATCCTTTGGCACGACCACGTTTCCTTCCAGCTTCACCCATGTAAATGCCGAATCGAAAAGCTTCGAATAGAGAGAGAATCGATTCAAATCTTCCCTCCAACGCTAAATAAGACTATTGTAGAAAATCAAGGAATCCAACGATACCGACATTATCGCGAACGAATAGGTCAAAATGGAACCAAAATTCAAAACGAGGGCTTATCAAAAATACACTTGTGTGAACCCGGTTTGTATCCATTCCGTTTAATCTGATTCGGATATCCGTCCTTAGGAACCCTAGCTGTAAACGTCATCGTTTTTAGTATGAATCACAATTGTTGATCATGTAATTGGGCTCTTATTGGGCTATTATTAGGTTATTACTTTCTTTTAGATCCGTTTCTTTAATTAGGTGTCTTTCTTTTTATGCAATTTAAACCCCAAAATTTGCAAGACTAGAGAAAACAAGTATTTGACAACTCACTAATGCCTGGTCACGAGAACTGAATCTTCAAAAAAAACTCAACCGTTATATGAAATCATCGCAAACTAAGAGAAAACAAAGAATTCATATTAACCAAGTACTCAGAAACAAACAACCTTGTATGTTTATTGGTGATGACTATGAGGATCATCAGAGAACGACAACTTTGCATGACGTAGAGAGTCTTGGAATAGTAAGGAGTTCTTTTAGGAGGACAGATTCTTCTTTCTTTATGGAATTATCCAAGCATAGGGTCAGTTCCTTGAGGATTGTTGAATTCTCAAGTAAGTAACTCACTAGTTTCATCTCCTTCGCCTCTCCTTTCAATGGTCTTTCTATCTTAACATACTTGAGAGATGATAGGAAGCGCCGAGGTCCGGACAAGATATTAATTCCCTCCTTCTCCCGATAATTAGCAGATCCCTGCAAGTACGTACCATTTAACCGAGTGGAAGAGACATTAGTCCAATATATGATACTTTCACCATTTGCATCTTAAGATGGGAAGTTCATGGTTCCGTAGACAATCCTCACCACGAAAAGAGATTTTAGATTAGGGCAGCTCTCAAGAAAGACTGGCAACATTTCCCACCTGTAGCCGTAGAACTCAACACGCAAGGAAGATAGGTTATGGAATAAGGTTAGTGGTTCACATCTTGAGTAATCATAAATGACCTACGACCAAAAAAAAAAGTATCAGGGTACACTTATAATATAAAGTTAAGCATCCCAATAGCAAATTCAATATAAGTTACCTCAAGAGTACTCGAAGCGATGATCAAGTTTTTTATGTTAGAGATCCCGACGAGAAAATCACGAATCATATTTCTTTTTTTCAGATCATTTGGATCGAACATCTTCTTGCAAATCAAGTTAAAGACAGTATCGATATCAGCTTCAACAAGCGAAGCCAGATTTTTCAGTATGAAACTACCAATTCGATGATCACTGAGCCTCAGATACTTAAGCTTGGGGGCATCAATTGCAACTACTAGATCTTCAACCAACATCTCATCACTGTCCGCAACATGAGTGAAGCTCAATAGAGACTGAGAACGCACACATGTAAATTCAAAATCATCACAGAAACTCTTGTTGATAGTTAGGTTTTCTAGAACTGGGCACTGTGAGACGAGCGTTTCAAATGCCAAATCGTCAGCAAACTTGACAATACTTAGATGGAGTTCTTTAAGAGAAGGTAAAGAAACAAACTTGGGACTAGCCAAGAATAGTCCATCGAGCGTTAAGTATACTAAGGTCTCACAAGTGTAAATGGTTTGAGGCATCTCGTAATCATAACTCCCACATGAATCATCCGAAACACCGAGATATTTCACTTTCCGACTAACAACACTGTTGATCCACCGCATGATAAGAGCAATTATAGGCTCACCATACCCACTAGAATCATACTCTAACTTAAAACTTTGAAAGCAAGATTGTCTATTAAAACCCATAAAACTGTCGACAAAACTCAAGAATGTGTTGTGGTCATACGAGAATGTGTTGCGGACATGGAAATCACAATAAGTCAAGTTCAATCCAGGTACATACTTCCAGATATTTCTCCATCTAGTGGATAACACACTACTCTTGACTACATCTTTCGTGGGAAGTTTCAAGAGTACCTGACATAGCAAACAATCTGGCAAATCGCTTATCCAATCAACTTCACCTGAGCCTTTGGCACGAACACGTTTCTCACCGTCTTCATCCATTAACGCAAATATCAAATCGAAACGAAATCCTTAAGAACTTGTAATAGAGATTCGATTAAATTAATGTATCGATCATCGACAGTTCCTAAAAATCGTGTACTATATCAAAACATACATATTTTTTGTCTGCCCGTTCCACATCCTCCGGCGGCCGTTCAGACTTCAGAGTTTCACTCTGTTCCATTCCAAATCCGGTTCGGATCGATTCGGTTTAATGATCCGATTAGTAGTCCTCGGTATCTTGATTGGTTAATACGACATCGTTTTAAGTATAAATCACACTGTAAATTTTAACTTGCAAGTCAAGTGATTGTGTTTGAATCCTCTTCTTTTACTACTGTGCCTGTGTTGGGCTTTGCTTCTTGTTAAATATCATTACTATACAGTATACATACTCTCTCAATCATTCCACCATTGTCTGTTGGGGTGATTTTTCAACTTAGCTGAAAGAAGAAATGATCATAGATCTGACAAAAGACATTTATTTGGCTTCTCCTAAAAAGCCTTTGAATTTGAGAATCAAAGATCCTACAAAAACAAAAATGAATCAAAAAGTATCATTAATACAATCCAAAATCATAACCATCCTCTTCTTCTTCCACTTCGTCTTCATAGAATTTCTCATCTGTGTTCATCTCGTATGGTGCTTCTTCATCTTCATCAATCTCATGCTCTTCCTTCTCCTTCTCTGTAACTGTCTCGGTTCTCGGTTTCTTCTGTGACTTCTTACCTGGCTGAAAGAAGAAACAAGAACAAAATTGTATAGACCTGAAAGTGATGACAACTAAGGAAACAAGAAGAGAGGATAATAAACTTACGCTAGTATCAAAGAGCTCCTCCAAAACATCGTAGTTTATTAACCCACCGAGTCTCTGTATAAGACTCCAAATCAGAAACACAAGAAAACTCCAAACGTTTTTCTTCAAAAGATACAATATATTTTTACCTTCCTCTCAAGTGTTCTGCGAACTGCTTCCATGGTTGTAGCTGGCGGAGGCGCGTTCTTTTCTTCTTCAGCACGTTTTTGTCGCTTTTCCTTTCTAGATTTCGCCACAGCTGCTTTAGAAGCTTCCACAAGGTTTCTTGCATCTTCTGGGCAATTAGCTGCCTTCAGAGCTGCTTCTTTTTCTGCTTGCTCCTACCCAACAATATAAATTATTCTCCGAGTTTCTCAATCCAAGAGAAGATAAATGATATATATAGCCTATCAATCACACCTTAACATACTCTCTGTTTTGCAAATTCCAGGCCGTCGTCTTCAACAGCGTTTCGTCCTCACCGAGAAGAATGTGATCCACCTGGGAAACAGTGAACAAGTGAAACTCTAGTAAGGGAAAAAGACTCTAGAGCATTTCTCCATTTCATGTTCCATATTCAAAGTTTAAGCATTCGACCAAGCATATCTAATACAAAACAAGAAAGCAAAATCATAGCCCACCTCAGAATCATCGTCGTCCGAACAGATGCCTGATTCATCGTCGTCCGAATATTCAGCATGTTCTTCACCCCCATATTTTTCTCCTTGGCCTTTCTCTGCGCACAAAAGATTCTCAAGAGTTCAAACGATAGCAAAAGAAGACAATAAAAAACTTTAATCTGATTACACATCAAGTACACTCACCCGGACATTGTTTTTCCCCTTTGCTTACATTTACTTGTTCATCGCTACCAACTCCTCCCTCGTTTTCTTCTCTAGCTGCTTTTTCCATTCTCTCTTTCTCTGCTCGCTGGAAAGCAGGAGGATCCGACCCACCAACAATTCCACCAGAAATTTTAATGAACTGCCGGAAAAAATTGGAAGCATCTGATTGCCATTTCTCGCCAGTTGCACAAGCATCAAAAAATAAAATGGAAAGAGACAAGTCCGAGACTTACATCATCGTGACAGCTCTTACATAATCCATAACCAAAACGTTTTAAATCCTTATGTTGACAGTTCACTACTCCTTCGTCAGAATTTGGTCTTGGGGTAAAAGCTTCTTTACGCGATATCGGTTCGCTTTTATCAAGCTCATCAACCTAGACAAGCATGTACAACAACTGAATAATACATAAAACCAACAAGTAATATGAGGCAAAAAATTGACAACATCTAATCTACAACTAGAAACGATTTGTAACATAATCATGCAAATGAAATAACTCACAGTTAAACTTCCAGCCTTGGTATTAGCAAACTCATTCAATCTTTTGGTTATTGTTGCTTCACACATATGCACAATTTTTGCCTGAAAAATATTTCGAAAACACATGAAATCGAAATATCCTAGCTCTCATCTTATAACAATATTCTTTCAAAAGCTTAAATCATATTCTTACAATATCTGCTCTAGAGCACATGATACCATGAGAAAGTGCAGCTATGTAAATTGCTGCTCCACATATTCCACTTGGTTTCCGGCCGGTCTGCAAGCCAATAGATGGCCAACATTAACACAAGCCATAATAAATAACTTTAAGCCAAAGAACACGTAGGCAACTATCCTTTTAACAATAAAAACACACCTGCATCCAATCTCTCTTCATACTAGATATAATGTTTGTAGCCGTACCAAAGACCTTATCCCAGACATTTTTTGTTATATTGTGTGCACCTTTCAATAAGTCTGCAAGTATATAATGAAACAAGAATTTGATATAATTGTTTTGTATTTTAACTAAAATAGAATGTTCTGCATCAACCCGATAAAGAAAAAGAATGGGGAGGCAGAAGACGACATACTTACTGTTCATGAATCGAGGAATGAAGATTGAAGGATCAACAAGCTCCTCATAGTTCTCGTTTTGCACAAGGTACAGCATTTCACAGAGTTGCAAGTACACAGAACCTAACTCGTAACTAGAAATGAAACCAATACCAGCATTACTCGACTCGACTCAGCAGTAGACTTAAGAGGTAATTCGGCTATCAAATAAAGAGAAACGTAGTATGGGAATGAAAACAACTCATCTTACACGCTAACTCGAAGGTAGCTTGAAAAATCAATAAGAAGAAACGGAATTTTCTTTTCCCTACAAGTAAAGAAAGTATTTGGTTAACATTCAGTGAAATAACGCATTACTCGTAACATAACTCAGCATGATATATGAGGGAAAGAAATCTGTAACTACGATCACTAAGATTCTAACCTGCAAGTCAAGTAGAGACAGGAAGACTGTACAAGTTCAGTTCTGCGCCCTTTAGTGAAGTTTTGGTCAGTTGCCATCTTCAGAAGATAAATAAAGTAAGACGGTGTAAGAATCCTGACAGATTGATTAATATTCAGACGATTTGTAAAACCTAAACATACTTCAAAGAATTCGGCAGCCATGACAATCACATCATCTCTCTCATCACCAATTCCCAAGGCATCTTTCAAATTCCTTAACTCATCTCTAGCTGCCAAAACAAAAGATGAGCCAAATGAACAAAGGAATGATACTTGAAAAAAAGCAAACTCATCTCTGTATACCTATTCTCTTTCTCCTTTCACGTGAGCTTGAAAGCCCACTCTTAACACTTGTCACAATGTTACCTGACGCTTGGCTCTGCAGGCACAGAAATAATTTCAAATGGTCGAAAAAAAGATAGCATCATAGTGAAGCAACTCTCTAGATATCACTGAAAAGACAAGAGTTTTTTATAAACTAAAATCCGTTGTCTAATCTATTATTTCTATCAAAGATATTTCTATTGATTTTAGCCAATTAAGCTGGTAAAAATTTTGGACTCGGGTAGTATATAACCTAAAGTATATCATATAAATGGAGGTAAGGATCAAGATAAAAAGGCACGAGTATATCATCTAATATTCTAATTTACTCACTAGACTGTTAAAGAATAAAAAGTTGATATATAACTTGTCATACAGCCACTAGAATAAGAGGAGCTTAGAGTATACCTGTCCAGCGGCATTCTTAACGAAGGTAACATCAGTAGAAAAATTGAAGTTTTCCAAAATCCTCCCACATAAATCACATGCCCTACAAAAAAAAAAGAACAAGCTCATCATAACTCGGAGCTAGAATCATAACCGCAAGTTTAAAAATCGAAAACACTTACAAACCACCGTCGAAGGGGCGAATTCCGGGAACATTCTTCGCACAATGCTTACACCACACCATGGCTGGAGAAAAGGAGCAAGTGTAAATCAAGAAATAGCTCCTAAACCCTAGTTATAGTCATCCTACTCAACATCATCAACACAAACAATAAATAAAGAAAAGAAAGAAAACCCACTAGATTTCGTCTTTTAGGTTGACCTCTTCAAGCAAAAATACATACAAAGTAAGATATTTTTCAAGCGATCTCAAAAAAAAACAACTTGTCTTACTAGAAATTGAACTCGCCGTCGCTTTAGATTAGCCTGCCGTAAGTTTCTCCCCCACACAATGAAAAGGAAGAGAAGGAGCCGATTAGTACTTGGTATCATGGTTAGTTAATACGGCATCGTTTGAAATATAAAACGCTTTGTAATTTTAACTTGTAAGTCAAGTGATTGGGCTTATAATGAGCTAATGGGATTTGACCAAACCGTTTGGTCGCTTTTGTGCCTTGTTAATCAACATAATAAGGTCGCAGCCCTATAATAATCTCCAAATTTATTACAAGTTTTTCCGTCTCTCTCTCAAAACAGAATTACTAGTGAATAAATGGACAGAACACAGTCATTACTACTAACAAACATATGATTGTCTTCCAAGTTACGAAACATGAAAATCATTACAAACGATGAAGAAAAGATATATTTAACATTAAGCAAGTAACCAACAACTACGAGGATCAGAAACGACAACTTTGCATGAGGTAGAGAGTCTTGGAACCGTAAGGAGTTCTTTGAGAATGACAGATTCTTCGTTCTCTCTGGAACTCTTCAAGCTTAGAGTCAGTTTCTTGAGGATTGGTGAATTCTCCAAAATGTAACTAACTAGTTTCATCCCCCTCGCCTCCCCTGTGATTGGCCTTTCTATCTTAACATACTCGAGTGTTGTTAAGAAACACAGAGGTATGGATAAAACTCCAACTCCGTCCTCTTCTGAGGAATCCTTAAATTCCTGCATATACAATCGAATTGAAGAAACACAAGGTAAGCATCAGATAGTTCCACCAGTAGCATTATAGAAAAGCAATTTCATTGTTTAAAGTGAAATAACCCTAACCACGACAAGAGATTTTAGATTTGGGCAGCTCTGGAGAAACGTGGACAACATTTTCAAGCTGTGGTCTTCGAAGTCTATGTGCAAGGAAGATAGGTTATGAAATACTGGTAGTTCACAACTCGAATCGAATATAACCTGCAAAGTAAATTTAGGTGATTATGTTTCTTATATGAAAAAGCTTAAGCACCAAAACATCGAATTCAACAAAAAAAACAAAAACTTAAGCGCAAAGTAGAAAAAGGTTACCTCAAGAGTATGCGAAGAGATGAACAATGTTTTGACAGTAGAGATCTCGGCGAGAAAATCTCGAATCATTTTTCTCTTTGGCCGATTATTTGGATCTGGTAGCTCTTCCATATTAAATATGATATTGATATTCGCCTCAACAAGAGAACCCGAATTCTTTATTCTGAACTTTGCGGTTGAATGATCACTGATGTTCAGATACTCAAGCTTAGGAGCATCAATAGCAACTTCGCATCCATCCCAACCATCAGAACAGTTACCAATATGTTTGAATCTCAGTAGAGACCGAGAACGGACACGTAAAACATCTATATCATCAACGGAACTCCTGCTTATAATCAAGCTTTCAAGAGCTGAACAGCTTGAGATGAGCTTTTCCAACACCAAAGCATTGGCAAACTTAACTATATCAAGCTCAATAGCTTTGACCAAAGGCAAAGATATAAACTGAGGATTAGGCAAGATCACATTACAGAGCTTCATAGACACCAAGCTCTCGCATGTGTAAACGGATGGAGGTATCTGGACTTCCTCATTCCCCCAAGTGTAGTCCAAAACGTCGAGAACTTTAAGTTTTTGGTTGACGACAATGTTGATCCACCGCTTGACAATAGAAATCGTGCGCTCTTCTTCATCACAATCGTACCTTAACCTAAAACGTTCGAAGCAAGACTCTCTCTCTACACCCAGGAACCTATCAACAAAACTCACGAAAGCGTTATAGTCTAGAAATTCACTGTACTCCACGTTCAAACCAGGAACATATCTCCAGAGGTTTCTCCATCTTCTGGATAACACACAACTCTTAACCACATCCTTGGTGGGGATATTCAACATTATCTGACATAGTAAGGATTCTGGTAAGTTGCTCAGCCTATCCTCATCGCTTCTTCTTTCACGTTTCGCATCTCCTCCTCTATCCATGTTAATCTGCATCGCAAATGTCAAATCAAAGAAGAAGAAGAAGAAAACACACAACATTTTGATGAAAAAATCTACTAAATGTTGGATAAAATATCTATTGAATTTCATAAGGAACCCAGTTAACGACATAAATCTGTGTACCTGCGATTTCGCGAAGCAGCATGAAGAAATCAAATATGAAGGCTCATGAAGAAGGGCGATATATACAGAGACGAATCCTCGTGGAATCCACCAGCCTGATCATAAGGGTTTTCGTAACGCTTGTATTTTCCAACTGTTCTTCTCCACTAGTGGCTAATTAACCGGGGTGGCGCAGGATAGAATAGTCGACTCGTGTACTTAGTCAAAGCAGCGCATAGTAGAACATTTAACTCGTGGCTCTGTGGGTCCCATATTGTATGTAATTATAGGCGCGTCATTTAACTTTTTGTGCACTACGTTAATAGGCCGAAAGCCCAAAACCTAATTTAGGGCCCCACCATTGACTTCGTCAAGCCTGAACACAATGGGCCTAAAGCCCATATATTATGGAAGGGGTGGGTGAAAAAATAAGGAATCACACTCCCGCCGAGGCTCTTCCCTTGTCCCGAAGCCTCTCTCGCTCAAACACTTCCGACTGGAGAAAGCGGACGAACAAAATTTCCCAATAATCTTCCGTTTTTGTTACGATCACTGCTTAGATCTTGCTAATTCTGGAATTCGTCTGGGAGAATTCGAGAGGTGAGGAAATTATGAGGGAAGAAGAAATTGAGAAGATCCGAGGAGTGGTTCGAGACTGCGTCAGTAAGCATTTGTATTCGTCAGCCATCTTCTTCGCCGACAAAGTAGCGGCTCTTACAAATGATCCAGCTGACATATATATGCAAGCTCAAGCTCTATTCCTCGGCCGCCATTACCGTCGCGCCTTTCACCTTCTTAACGCTTCTAAGATTGTCCTCCGAGATCTTCGATTCCGTTACCTCGCCGCCAAGTGCCTCGTAATTCCAATTTTTCTATCTATTTCTCTTGTTTTAGATGGGATGGGTTTGGGAATTTCAGATTGTTTCGCTTCAATGGAGGGTTTTAGGGTTTATCGGTATTTTCTGTGTGTTCTCAGGAGGAATTGAAGGAGTGGGATCAGTGTCTCTTGATGCTTGGTGATGCGAAGGTTGATGAAGATGGAATTGTGTATGATGCTAAAGACGGGAACGTGATAGATTTTGATAAAGATGGAGAAGACCGAGAGATAAATGTAAGTTTTCTACAACTTTCAAATGTATAGTATATCAATTTAGACTAGGTAAGTATTATCTACTTCGACTCAAGAAGGTTTATTTGCGAAACTGTTGGAATTACATTAACTGGTCGACTACTACATACAGTTTCCACTATACCATTCGAGGTTGAAGGTTATGCACTGATATATTGTTATCTACTTTTGCAGATATCATCAGCAATATGCTTTCTTAGAGGAAAAGCATACGGAGCCTTACAAAACCGTTCTCAGGCTCGACAATGGTCAGTGAGCCTTCTTTCACCTTATCTTTCTTGTTCAGGGGATCATCTGTCATCTGCGTTCTTATGATTTTGAGAGAGCGATTTTATTGAGTTAGTGGTGTTACATGAACTTAGCACGTATAAAAGATTTACTCAAGTGCTAGTGGGATTATTGGGAACTTGTGTGTATGTTGGCTGATCCATCTATTATTATTCAGTGTTGTGTGGGAATCTTGAGCTTCATATCTAATTAACTCATTAATTTCGGCTGTGTTTGCAGGTACAAAGCTGCGATAAAGGCTGATCCTCTGTGCTATGAGGTATTTCTACCCCCCTAGTCAATTGCTGCTTATTATTTTTAGTTACCATGGGAAGTTGCAGAGCTAATGTGGGAAAATAAAATTCTCTTCATTACTGTAGTAGTAAGAACCTGATGTACCTCTATAGATCAGAAAAACTGTTACATATATGTGATTTCTGTAATCTATCCTTTCAGGCTTTGGAATGCCTGATTGAGAGTCATATGCTTACATCTGAAGAAGGTGAGTTATAGTTTAAGCATTTTTGTTGTTTTTTATTTTATCGTCTTATTTGTTTCAAGGTCCAGTCAATTACATGACTAGAAGGAACTGAGACTTTAATTACATAAAATTCAGAATCGAGTCTGCTTTCTTCACTGCAATTTAGTCCAGAAGACGGATGGCTCTCTTCTTTCTATTCATGCTTGATAAAGAAGGTAAACATTTTTATGTAGTTAAGTGTTTGATCCAATGTGTCAATAGTTATGTGGCACCTATATTTGGATTTACTTGCTGATTCTCTATTCTGTTGATTTCTTTTTGTAAGCTTATTTTCTTTTCTTCTTGGTACTTACTATTCTTCATGTCCAGTATGACAAAGAGAACACGGTAGAACTCAAGTTCAAGAAGCTTGAGAACGAGACTAGTGGTAGTGTCTCTGGCTCATCTATGATCACGTTGGCTAATAACACTGATCTGTTGGCCTGTAAAGCTGAGTACTACCATCAATGCTGTGAATATCAAAAGTGTTTCGAACTAACCGCTGCGTAAGTTGTATATTACTGCTGATACTAAATTTTGAGCAATATGATATGAAACTCGAATGATTCCAGCAATGTGGTCTCTTTTGGTCTTATTTGACAGACTCCTTGAGAAAGATCCTTTTCATCTGAAGTGTACCTTGGTACATTTGGCCGCTGCCATGGAACTTGGTAATTCAAATGAGCTCTATCTGATGGCGTGCAATTTGGTAAAAGACTACCCTTCGAAGTGAGTATTAAATTTTTTTTCTCAAGCTATATGGCCAGTGGGTGAGCATGTATATAGTTCTTATGTTTTTATCCCAATCCTAGCTAGGATAGTTAACCTGTTTTATGGTTCAGCTTGTCAAGACCTTGAATCAACTTCAAGAGCATGTTTTTTTGGTTGAATATGTTTTCTGTATTTGATTTGATCTCGTTAAAATGTTTTGGCATTTTTTTGTTTGAGCCAAATTTTTATGATTCCTTTGCTTGATGCTCTGTGGTATAAATACTCATACATGGTCTTGTAGGGCGCTGTCATGGTTTGCTGTGGGCTGTTACTACTATTGTATCAAAAAGTATGCTGAAGCTCGGCGGTACTTTAGGTAACTATGCTATGGCATTATGCAGTCTTGATCAACTCTAGTAGTAGTAGTAGGTAGGTGCATATGTGTCTGACCTGGAGCTCCATTTCTTTTAATATGGTCTTCCAGCAAAGCTACGAGTATAGATGGCTCATTCTCACCAGCTTGGATAGGTTATGGTAATTCATTTGCCGCCCAAGAGGAGGGTGACCAAGCCATGTCTGCCTATCGCACTGCCGCTAGGCTATTTCCAGGGTAATCAAGTTACTCTTGTTTTCTTCAAGACTAGTGACTGTAAATCTGTAACTTGTGTCCAAAATGAATCATTCTTAGCCCTGAAGCATTGTAGAAGTCTTCTTATTACGTTACAAATTGTTTTTTACAGGTTGAATCTTGATCTTATCTTGTTCCAGGTGTCATTTGCCAACTCTGTACATTGGAATGGAGTATATGCGAACTCACAGCTACAAGCTTGCGGACCAGGTAACAAGTTAGAAAATGTTGTGTGGTGTCTTCAAATTATATATCCTATCTTTGTGCTAATATTGTATTTATTTTGATCCCTTCTTTTTGTCCAGTTTTTCATGCAAGCAAAGGCGATATGCCCTTCAGATCCACTTGTTTATAATGAACTCGGAGTTGTTGCATATCATATGAAAGAGTGCGTTCCTCTTCTCTCTACAGTCTGCTTATCTCCAAAATTTCCAAATGTTATTTAATGACAAAGCTACATTATAAAATGGGAAGAAGGTGAACTATCCAATAAATTGAATCAACATCATTAACTACATTTCAGGTATGGTAAAGCTGTGCGGTGGTTTGAGAAGACGTTGTCCCATATACCATCTGTATTAACTGAAACCTGGGAACCAACTGTGGTCAATCTCGCTCATGCATATAGAAAGCTAAGGTATATAGGTGCACACACAGCTACCATGGTCTTCCTCTTACGTAGGCATTCTCGTCTTGTGAATTGACTTGTAAATATTATTACCAACAGAAAGGACCGTGAAGCTATCTCATATTATGAAAGAGCACTTACACTATCAACCAAAAGCTTAAGCACTTATTCCGGCTTGGGTTACACTTACCATTTGCAGGTATTTGAATGTACTTTTAAACACCAGCCATTTCTTTGAAACAGTACTAACATTAATTATAACAAAACCCGTAATTTTTCCATTTCCATCTCATTCTTGTCCAGGGGAATTTCTCAGCTGCCATCTCATATTATCACAAGGTATACACACTACTATATATGAGAGAACGATAATTATTTCCTTAATAATTAACATATAAACACTTTTCTTCTCTATCAGAGTCAGACTAAGCGCTATACATTGTTTATTTTCTCTGATGATTCTTTTTTCTGTTTTTTCCCTCTATTTTCAGGCCTTGTGGTTGAAACCTGATGATCAATTCTGTACTGAGATGTTGAACGTGGCTCTCATGGATGAATGTCAGAACGGGGTTGATGCAAAGGTTGAGCTCTGCTAGAAATTGGTCAGTTAAATTAACCGCCTTATTCTAGTTCTTGTTGTAATTTATCTGTACGATTATCATTGTGACGCCTAACATAACTTATAATTTATTACATGCATCAATAACCAAGAGACTGTTACAATATATTCTTTAAAGGGTCAAATACACTTCTGCTTTTCTTATTTCTGGTATAAACCAACATTATACGGACAATAGACATTCATAGATCATTATTATTTTTTAGTGTGTGAATGGGCAGCTTTGTTTGTCTGCAGTGTTGTCTCCTCTGTCTGTGGTTTTGGTCTCTGATATAGGACGTCCCTTGAGTAGTTCCCCGAACAGCTCTCCTGGATCATAGTAAATCTCGATCTCCTCTGCTCTAAGCGTTTCATCAACCTGTAGAGAACCTCTAGAAGTAAGTAAATCCTGATGCTAGAGTTTTAACCATTTAAAGATTACGAGGGACACAAATTCATGTTTCAAACATACCTTTAGAACTCCTAGACCCATGAATTGAACCATTTCCCCAGTAGGAGCATGACCTTTGAAAGTTCCTTCAAAGTATCCCCAGTGTCTAAACTTGAAGGCTATAACAGGCGGTCCCGAGTACACAGAGAGTATTTCCCACGCAAACCCGCGTGGTAAAGCAGATCTAAAGGCGTCATGTGATGACTCAAAGCTCTCTTCCTCTGGCTTGTAGTACTGAAACTCTTCAGGCAAAGAGTTCTTGAGCAAAGCATTGTAACTCCCAAGCCTAAGCGTCTCTTCAGCTGATAAACCTTCTCTCCCTAATAATTAAACGACACTTAAATCTTTGTTTGGTAATTACGCAGTTTAAGATCATATTGATTAAGTGCTAGTTGTAATTACCATTGACAAAGAGCTTAAATTTCTCAGGGTTTATAGTCTTGAAGTCCTGTAAACGGATCTTATGTGAGAACTCCATCTCCCATGACTTGATTGCGTTTTGCACAGTCTCTTCTAACGAACCTTGTGGCCACACCTGCGCTCAAAATCAAACACTATCAACGAATCAGATTCACAAAATATAAACATAGCACATACCTTAAGTGAAACATAAATTAACCGAAGGACCTTGGTCTGGCCTTCTTCAAAGAGCTGGTTCACACTATTGAAGTCTGGAGGGAGACCATACCTCCATTGAACCTGTCCTGCATCTTCAAGGACTGATCTATACTTATCTCTCTCTTCCCTAGTAGCCATATTAGCTTTTGATGGAGAAATAGTTATGATGGCTTGTATCTTTAATAATCTCACAATACATGTTGATTGATATTAAGAAAATAGTTTAAAATGGATTAGTGGTGAATCCCGTTTTCTTATCCACGTAAAGTTGACATTTTGAAGTTGTTAATTGTCTCAATCACATTTCTAAATATCTTCATGACTATGTTGCAACCAATAACCCACAATTACTTCTTTGTCTATCCAAATTGGCTTCTTTTCTACCCAATGACATTTTCTAAGACTAGGAAATAAAAAGTGTAAACCAAGGAATTTTACAAGAAAGTCTTGTGTAACTTGTGACATAATGACCTTTTCTAAGACTAGGAAATAAAAAATGTAAACCAAGGAATTTTACAAGAAAGTCTTGTGTAACTTTTTTAAGTATATGTTTGCTATGTATGTCACATCGGATATTATATGGTAATCAAAGATTCTTGATTTTTTTTTGGAAATTATTGCAGAAACTAGTGAACCATTTAATTACTATATAGGTCACTACTTAAATTATGATGTTTTTGTACATCTAGTCTAACAGCGTAGTGATTTGTGTTAGTCACAATCTAAGCATATTGTTGATAAAGATAAAGATAGGCAAGAGAAAGAGTTGGTTTTAGTTACCTGGGTTCTTTCTTCTTCGAAAAGCTTGTTCACGGTGTCAAAAATCGGAGGACCACCGTATCTCCACCGTATGTTTCCCCTTTTTTCATCGTTCAAGATTGATCGGTACTTGTCGGCGGCCAATTTCAGAGACGAAAGTCCACCCTCTAGAGCATCCGCAGAAAAAGACATTTTTGTGAGTTTTGCATAGAGATTATAAAGATAAAAAGACACAATCTCTGACTCTACTATATATATACCAATGTAACCTTTTTACATATGACGATGATGTCAGCAAAAAAAGACAGATGTCAGGATTTGGTCGTAAAGAATTAGAAGAGTCATCACTCACGGTTTGAAGAAGTTTTTTTACTGGCGGGAGACTCCGTTTATGGAAAAAGAGGAAGAATATACAGAATGTTAACTTTCCTTTTCTTTAGGGTGCTGAGCTATATAAATTCAGGCAACACTTGTTTCATAGCTTCTGCGTTGCAGTGCTTCACTCATACTGTGCCTCTTCTTGAGAGCCTTCACTCATACAAATGTCAAAGCCCTTGCAACCGTACGACTAAGACTATTCAAAACCTCTCTCTTTTTTTTTTGTCTGATTTTAGTCAATGCCCTGTTTCTTCATGGTCTTAATCTTAAAGCTCCTTTTGGGTTTTCAGGTGGCAGCGAGACATTCTGTGTTATGCATGCTCTCCAAGATCATCATATTAAGCTTGCTCTCAACTCTTCAGGATCTTATATAACGAATGATCAATTTCGTGATAATCTAAATCGTATGACATCTACTTCTTCTTTTTTTCCCTTCTCATAACTTTGTGTTTGATGAGATTTCTTCATAAGAATGGTTTAACCTTAAGCCACCACAGATTTTTAATCTGACTTTCAGATAAACAACCAAGAAGATGCCCATGAATTTCTACAGTCGGTTTTGGATAAGTTAAAGAGATGTTTGAATCCTAGAAACAGGCCTGGCTCTGTCTCTTCTCAAGATGTTAACATTGTTGACCATGTCTTTGGTGCCGTCTCATGAGTAGGGTAAGAAAAGTTAATAATTCAATATCATACTATTAATCTAGTGTTGAAGCAATTTTCATATCTTCTTTTTCAGCATCTGGTCACAGTTATGAGAATGTCGGTAATTTGAAGTTTTCAACAAAGCGAGGGCTTTGAGACTAGCTGGAGAAACGAGTGTGTATCTGATCATGGTGTCGGTACTTCTAACAAAGCATGCAACTACTCGGTGGGAGTAATGATCCCGGCTGTAAATTATTCAGATTTACGTTGTCGTGTTTCATTCAACAGACATTGATGGTGATTCTTACATGAGGGATGATATCGAGTCAACTAAGGCTGAGATCATTTGCTGAGACCTCTCACCAGGACGAAGCCTAAGTTGTACTTGTATCCAGCTACTTATGTGCAAAATCAAGGCTTGTCTCCAAAATGCAAAGGTACTGTCTTTTTACTATTGGTTTACAGATAGCTTTAGTCTTGATTAGATAATATATCCTCAGTTTAGACAAGCTCTTATATTGTGCTTGCTGTTTCTGCAGATCCGAAGGCTAAAGAAATTGCTCTTTCATACCGTAAGAAGATTCCTACATCTCGCTCTTCCGCTTTATATCAGCCTTCTACGATCAAGAAAGGGAAAATCTCTAAGAGCAGAAGATCGACGATGGCGAAGATTTATTCTTACATTTCAGAGTATTTTGGTGTGTTACTGGTGATAGCATTGGAATCAGCTCTGAAGCACATTGAGCATATATCGAAAATCAAGTCAAAGATATATATATATATATATATATGTTTCGTTCTACATGAACCATATATTACATTTACCACACTAGCCTAGCCTATAAACAAACTAGTGGTATGATCTTCAGAATAACTTTTGTGGAATAATCCCTGATAATCTTCACATATTTCTACAAAGGAAAAGATCAAATAACACATCACTACAAGAACAAATGCCATGATCTATAAGCGTTGTGTGTTTTTAGACGAAGGAGTAAAGATACGAGATTTCAATTTCATTAGCTCATCAACAACAACATAAACAGAAGCAAAATAAAACGAAAGATGCAGGGACAAGCATGTGCTATTCTCAATCATACCTTAAAAGTCCAAAAGAAGTTGGGGAAGAATCCTCTCTAAATGAGTAGCTTCAATCTTGTCCATTCCCTCAGCTTCAGCGATTATAGCAGCACGCTGCACAGCCTCTGCCAATGCCGATAAAAATCCTTTAGATAGATTATAGATACAACATGAATTAAGGAGAACACTGAGTATTTTCTAAAATGCAAACATGGACCTGAGACAAAACTCTTGAGAAGTTCACAGCTGAGTTTTAAAGCATTTGCGTTTGCTACAAGAACCAATAACCAGAAATATTAATGTATCATCTCGCAAATTTACATGACAAAGTAAGCGATAGTGTATAAACGAACCAGAAGCAAGTCTGTTCTTCTTGGTTGTTCCCAGAGCAATCTGCACAAAGTGTAAATACACAACCTAGAATCACAAATGGTAATCTTCCTCCCTTTTTAAATTTTTTTTGAAATTTCGAAATCAGAAGATCATAACTGTTACAAGATTAACCTCATACACCAGTATCAAGCGAAGGAATTACGATACCAAATGAACATGAAACTTGCGATTTTGATAGAATACCTCAGCTTCCGTAGCATCAATGGCATCGCTCCTCTCCCTTTCTGCATCGCAATCGAATATAAAAGCTCGCAGATAAGATTAACATAAGCGAATAAGTTTCTCTGATAAAACATGGATGTGTACCGCGAAATCTTCGGGCCCAAATGTGCTTAAAAATGGCGTGAATCAGATCCTAATTCCATGAAAATCGAAGGTAAGAATGTGAGAATCGTCTAATGGAGACGATAAAACGGCGAAAGAGAAAAATGAAGACGTGAGCAGAGATTACAGAATCGAAGGTATTGTTCGCATCCATGACGCATGTAACGAAGCTTCCTGGTGCAAAAAACAAAACGGAGACCGCTAAAAACTTAGAGAAGTTATTTTGAAAAAGTAAAACTAGAAGAATCATGGAAAATCAACACCATTACATACAAAATCACAAAACCGATTCTACAATTGAAAAACCACAAACTATATATACCCTGAGATGTTGATACAACGAAGGTAGCGATTTACAGTGAGGCCGCGATAACGAGCTCCGATGGAGGATTGGAGGGAAGAGAACTGGGATTTAGAAGTCGATGAAGGAAAAAGAAACGAAATCTAAAACGACACCGTTTTAAATCGATATGGTGGAGAAGCCCAGCCCATTAAGTATAATAAAACGCATTGTTTGGTTAAATTTCTCAGACGCGCCTCACTTAGCTCACTTTCTCAAATTATTAAAAATCCTGCGATTTTTGTGGTCTATATAACCCCCTACCCGAATTGCTGACACGCGCTCTACGCGCTCATCATGCGCGTGGGGATATTCTTCAATTATTTCCCTATTGCCTCTGTAAACCGTAACGACACCGTTTAGTAAATTGTAATCTATATTGAAGAATAATCCGGCCTGGCCCAAAGGGAAGAAAGGTAGAGAGTAGAGGGAGAGTCGATTTGGTAAGTCACAGCTGGATGGAAGACAGGTCGATTTACCGCTGTACGAGTTCCCATTCCGAACGGAGAGAGATAGATTCAACAGAGGCTTGGGGTCAAATAAAGACAAAGGATATGTTTTTTTTTTTTTGGTCAGGGTCACAAAGGATATGTAAGTGACCATTGAGTTGTAGATTGACATAGTTAACCTGTATGTATCGGCTTGGCTTCGTCCAAAACTAAAAAAATGAAATGTGGAATGAATCAGGTAATAGCCCTTAGTACCACCTCATGCAATGTTAACATGATTATTATACAAGCCCAATAAAGCACAAATTTTATAGACCGAAATTTCATTGACTTGGATTGGTCGATATCTGACCAGAGACTGAGATTTACTGATTCGATTTTATTTCCTCAAATTTATCCTCAAACCCAAACCGAAAACAAAACTGTCAACCTAAATTTAACCAATCTTCATGTTCAACATGATTGATCCCAACAATAAAGCCCCTGTAGTTTCAGACCTAAGCCTAAAGTATGCTGTTTAACGAACGATCTATGATTGCTAAACAGAGGAATCTCAATCTTCTTTAGGACTTGATACGACATCAACGAGATACTGATTCAACTTCTGTCCAAACGTCTTCACAGAGAATGATTCAACGACATGATTCCTGGCTTCAGCTCCCATTCTATTCGCCAACTCAGGATTCTCGATGAATCTAGCCATCGCCGAACTGAAATCTTCTGGAGTCGGTTCACAAAGATAGCCTGTTACTCCATTCTTTACCGTCTCCACGGGGCCACCACTGTTGCAGGCTATCACGGGTTTGTATGCAGCCATTGCTTCTAATGGAACAATACCAAAATGTTCATCCTAGCATTTGATATGGACCATGAGAATTGAGATGAGATTGAAACTTGGAGGAAGACAAAAAAGTATGATGACTTTTACCGTAGGCGTGTAGAGAACGCACAAGCAGCTTGAGAGAAGTTCATTTCTTTCAGCGGTTGAACAAGATGTGATAAAGTTAACTCGATCAAAAACTCCTTCTTTCTCAGCTAAACTTCTGAGCTCCTCCAAGTACTCTACATTCTCCTTCAGTCGCTCATCATATCCACCTGAATAACGAAGTTTTGTTAGAATACAAACAGTAAATCTCCATCTGATAATGATTATGAAAGGAATTTGAATAATAAATAATACACTTGCCTGCAACGGTAAGGGTAACATCACTCAGATTTTGCTTATGTTTGCATAGCATAGCAAAAGCTGAAACGGCTAGATCGATGTTCTTTTTCCTCTCAAAGCGGTTTATGGAGAGGAAATTCAACCTGCTCGAGACAAAGCAGAAGAGAAGAACTTATAGAAACCGACAGAGAAGTAATCTGCCATAAGGAAGCTTGCTTTTCTATCCTGGAAATTTGGAGTTCAGGGATATACAATACTTATAAGTATGGGATTCATTGAACTGATCGATATTGACTGCTGGGTAAAGTACAGCTGGGCGATTTCCTTGTGCATTTAGCCTTTTAAATGTACTGGCAAATGTTGATGCCGTGAAGTTACTGTTAACAAGGATCATATCAGCCATCCCTACAATCCCACAAGTGATATAAGAACAATTGATGTCAGATGGATGTAAGTAAGAGGAAATGAACGAAAACCAAACCTGTGGTTTGTTCTTCGATGAAATCAATGGGTTTTCGATACATCCGTCTAAGTGCTGTTGTATGCTTAGCTAGCAAGAGATCCGGGAAATGGCAGTAGAAAACAACCTATAGCCACAAGATTAAGCTACTGTATAAAGTGAGGACAAGATATGATGACTAAAAGCAAAGTTTGAATACCTTAGATGACCTTTTGAGTTTCAGCAATGGGACTACGACTGAAACCTGGTCTGCTAGTATAACATCGAACGAAGACCAACCCAAAAGAACACAGAGAGCAACAAACAAGCACCGCAGATAAGCACACACTGCGTGTAGTCGGTAGAAAATATGCCGTGGCAGGAAAGAGCCATACACCGTAACTCGAAAGATACCTGGATAGTTGTCAAGACATGAATCATAAATCTCAAACCGTGATCATATAATGCTTACAAATTTGAAGAATATCCTGAAACTATATAGAAAACCAAATGAGAAATTGAGAGTCAAGAATCTAAACTCTCTATAGATAGCTCTTTCAAAGCAAACATCTTTATTCAAGCATGAAATTTTATAGAAAAGCTTCCGCTCTATAATAAAGTCAAGCAAAATCGTCACTCACCGGATAGAGTTTCCTCGAAGCATCTGGATTTGTCGTGGTGAGAGGTGAAGACATGAACTTTGTGACCATGCGACGCAAGCTCAACCGCCGCATCAACAATCAATCTCTCTGCTCCGCCTGCATATACCAGAAACAACGCACTAGCGTAAATTTATGATAGCCAAACAAGAAGATGATAACTTATTGATTTATGTATCAAATCTAAGTCTGTTAAAGTCGTTCTTGATCTCTCAATTACGTTTAATCTTTGAATTTGGGTAATAACTCCTCGGAAGCAAGATAGATCCCAGAAGGACCAATTATACGAGAGGAAGAAGGTTAATCAGGTGATATTAAAATCGAAGGCTTGGTGAAGATCGTACCTATTCCAAGATCTGGATGTATAATGGCGATGTTCATCTTTGAACCTTCTTTTTTCCCCATTTTGATCTGACTTTCCACACTGACTGGTTTATGTTTTTCTGTTTGCGGTTTCCTGTGAACAAAATATGAGAGGCGTCAAAAAGTAAGATATTTGACCCGCCCGTCTTGTCTTGGACCGATTGAATTAAAAAAGGAAAATTTAATAAATTTGGGTAAGATGAGGGTTGTTAGGCCCACAACTGTCGGCCCAGATAGCCCAATATTTGATTAAATTATTTAATATCTCGAAATTAATTATTATTATTATTCTTTTTACAGTAACAACGATGTTTTAAAATGCAAAATAAATTTGGCTTAATAATTGATTCGTACGTTCATTGGTTTTTTTTCTGAAAATAAAATGTTGAATTTTTATTAAATTATGAGAAAAACAGTATATTTTATAACAAATGTTTATGTAAATAAATGATTTCCTCAGTGTCTTGCAACATTCTATTTAATTTTTTAAACTTTAATGGACACTTTTGTTATAATACTCCATAATTCTCAGTGAGAAAAGAAGAGAATATTTTTTAATAATCCAAACTGAGAATCAAAAGTTGGGTACACTAATACATATTGTCATTAATAAAGTCGTGAGAAGTTTGATAAGATGCCGAAGACTAAATATGATCGTACCTGAAGATTCAGTGCCTTCCATATACATAACTTTGTGCTTCTTGACTCTTAAATTGAATACGTAGAAGAGAAACAATATGATTAAGCCTCTGCGTAGACAAAACATAAATACTGGTTAATTGCATCTAAAAAAAAATCCATCAACCAGCTTAAAATGTCTGAAAGCAATAACTAAGGTTCTGTATCAAAAACTGTGAATAGATCATGTAATCATGTACATAAGTACTAACCGACACATGCCTCAGCCTCATCGTTGTCCTGTGGGTTATCAGCTTTATCTTCGCACATATGTTCCTGAAATGATTCACAATTCAATTTAAGAAATAAAATGATAATAGAGAGTGCTTGTTCTCTTGGTATTCTTTCTCACCTCGACCGCAGATGATGGGTTCTCATTGTTCTCGTTAGCATTAAATATAGCAAGAGAAGCAACGCCTTTCATTACTCTACGTGGTAGAAGCTCAAAATCCCAGCCAAGTAGTTCACAGACAAAACGAGCAAAAGCCTTGTGAGCTCGTATTTTCATTTTCGGTACTTTAGTACAATGTTGAACAACTCCATAACAGTGTTTGAATCTTTTTATCATCTTCGTATCAGTCGCAGCACAACACATCAGACAGATAAAGGCTCCACCTTCATAGTTTTTCTCATAGTAACTCTTGAGCTCAACATTCTCTGAGAAGACTCTAGATATTAACTCCAACTCCTCAGACAAATTTTCTTTCTCCTCAATTCCATCAACAGAATTAGTACCATCCTTGGCGAAAATGTCTTTCAAAGCTTCTGATGCATTCTGTTGCATTTGTAACACAGCAGCCTTTGCGTGTTCTTCAACCGACATGACCTGTTGCTTCTCCTGAGGAATCTTCGAGTCTGAAGGCGGCTCAGAGGCACCTTCCACAACCGTCTGTCAAAAGCAATAACCAAAAAAAAAGGTTTAGTATCTCTGAATGACCAGAACCATTCAAGAATCACAATGATCCAGCAAATTCATTTTTCGTCGCCACAATCAGATCAAAACCTTTCCTCACAACAACATTAATAAACTGATAAGCTTGTCTTAGATCATTATCAGACTATAATCCGGCCATTAATTGAATTCCCACAAGCAAATCAATCATCTTTTTTTGAAGCCACAGACTGCAATAGTTGGAAGCTAACTTCTTTCAAGTCATAGAATCTAACCTGAGCGTCTTTTTGGCTAGAAGCAACTGGATTGGTAACGTCCCAGCCAAGAACATTGCAGACAACTTGTGCAAGAGCTCTATGCTGAGTTTTCAAATCCGTCTTGTGAATCGCAAGTGAATGCTGAATTAAAGCTAAACAGCTCTTGAATTTCCTACAACTTTTCTCTCCAGTGCCACCACAAACCAAACACCAAAACTCTCCATTCCCAGTGTTCTTCTCATAGTATTCCTTGAGCTTCGCATTCTCTTCAAACACTCTCGATAGAAACTGGAACTCCTTGGAAGAAGATTCTTCTTTCTCCGAAGACTGATCCTCGTCTCCTTCATCGACTTCAGAGTCATCTCCTCCAGCGACTGAGCTATCTTCTTCACCGGATTTTCTACCGAAGAACTCGCGACAGGTGCGATGGATATCTCTCTGAAGCATATTCGCAGCCAACTTCTCTTTCTCCTCCGCCGAAACAGGTCGCGCCTTTTTACACGGCCTGTATTCAGGCCATCCCGATCCCGTAGGAGGAGACTGCAGCACATCATTGACGGGCCATTCTCGACCCGAATCGGACCTCGGACGCTTGTTATTGTAGAGATTTTGAGGATTGTTAGGGTTTCTAGATATGATCGGTGCAGTAACAGCTCCATAGCGAGAGAGAAGTTGCAAATCCGCCGGCGGGATGTAATTCGACCTGGGTCGTTGAATCGGGTTGAAATTAGGGCTAGGGATTGGGTTTCGGGTCGGAGGACCTTGGTGCCAGAGCGAATGAAGGTAGATTACTTCTTGCTTCAGAGATTCATCGTCGTAAGGATTCATCATTCTTTGTTCCGTTTATTTTCCGGCGATGAAGAATTTCAAGGTTTCCGTTTTTGTCATTAGTTCACTTTTTAACTTTTACATTAGATCTCTCTTTTGCCATTTACTGCATTTTAACGCCTGAACTTTCACTTTATTATGTTTCTAACCTATTAATGTATTCTGGTTTTAACAAGTTAGATCCAGAACTTTAACGTTTTAATATTTCCACCCCAAAATCTCTGTTTTGAACAAACTGAACCCTATACATTTACATTGTGTAATATTATGACTTTGGGTTCGTCATCATAGGCATGTCGACCCCATATCTAATATCTTTATGGTTAGACAACCTCAACCCTAAAGAACATTTTAGATACGAATTGACATGAAGATCAATCGAAATTTTCTGAAAATATTATTATAACTGGATAGAGTTAAACTATTGGAAATATTGGAAAATCGACTACTTTACATGTTCTGAATTTGTCTCAGCTTTTTAGCCACTTCTTCAATCGTTGGCCTCTTCTCTGGCAATACTTCTACACAGCTTGCAGCAAGCTCTGCGCTAGCCTCCGCAGCATTTTGCTTCCCGTCCTTTATCAGATTCGACTTCAAGAACACCAAAAGATCTCTTCTTGTGGGTAAAGGGATAGGCATTAAAGAAAACTCTGAAACTGGAGTGAGGCTTGGAAACCTATCACGAGAGGCTTCAATGAACACATCATGAGGCTCTCGTCCAGTCAAGATCTCGATAAGCGTAGCACCAAATGCGAAAACATCAGTCTTCTCGTTAAATTTGCCAGTATCTACTGATTCTGGAGCTATAAACCCTATTGTTCCTTCAACCAAAGCTTCTACATAGGTCTCACCTAATGGAATTTCTAGGGACAGCCCGAAGTCAAATAGCTTGGCGTTTAAGTTATTGTCGAGCAGAACATTACCTGTCTTCACGTGCCTGTGAATCAGAGGTCTCGATTTCCCAACATGGAGATAAACAATCGCAGCTGCGACCTGAGCAGCGATACGAACCCTCCATTTCCATGGCAGAATCATGTTCTCTTCCTGCAAGTAAGCAGATAGATTCCCGTTTGGTACATATTCAAAGACAATAATCGGTACCTTGCTCTCCAAACAACAACCGAGAAGCTTCACCAGATTCCGGTTCATGCTGACGTATGCAGCTATAGCGATTTCCCTTATGCAATATTCCACGAGCTCATCATGATCGTTCGTTTTCTTAATTAGCACAGTTCCCCTGTTCTCAAGAACTCCCTGAAACAATCTATAGTTGTCGTCAAGAAGTAAGACAAGATCTTGATCGTAGTCTTTGGTTGCTTGCTTCAGCTCGTGTTCGGAGAATATATAGAAAGGATTATAGTCACCGTTCGAAATACGGATTAATTCTTCAACCAGTAACCCTCCGTTCTTCAGTGATGATAACTCACTGCAAGATGATTCGTAAGATGTTGTCCTCTCTGTTCTTAAACAACAAGTGATTAGTTTTTTGAAGAACATTGTTTCGATTTGAAAGAGCAGACAGACGAGATTGGGAAATTTAACAGGATTATTAATTAGAGTTGACCCAAAGAAAAGAGAAGCGTCGCCGAAGTTTCATTATCTATTGATTCTCTCTTCACACACACCAAAAAGTTGACAATTTTACGAGTCTATACCAAAAAGTGATTTAAAAATTCAGATCCAAAATGGGTTTCCAATAGAAAACTAGCCCTTTAATATTTCAACAAGCATATCTATTTTATTTTATTTTCTTTTGTCTAAACAAGCATATATAATATATACTTACATTCATATTTTTTCCCTTTTACTCAATCCCCACGTTGATGCAAATTTCATAGACAATATGTTTGAACAGATGACTTGCTTATCGTTATTAAAAGCTTCGATCCTAAACTTAAATGAATAATGGTTTTTCTTAAAGCAGTCGAGTTTAAAAATTAAGCCTATCAGTTATGGCTTAAAGTCTATAGTTGATTTGCTTGTTGTCAAAATTTAATTTGTTTTTTCGCTTCGGCTTTTCTTATCAGCAAAACGATGCACTAGTTGTACAAACGTTTAATTTTTTTTTTTGAATATAATTTAACATTAGATTAAAAAAAAAAATTACAGAAATCCCGTTATGTACTAGTCAATAGTCATGGACAATACAAGCGAATTATTTCTGTCGTTAATTTGTATTACTCCTTAAGTTCTCATGTTATAAGATTTAGTAAATAGAAATAGTACTGAGGGGGTTTTTTTTTTTATAGTAGCCTATTTCAGTCAGACCTATCCTGCAAACATCAGGTATAATTACCCCGAAAGTCGAATAAAATTAATACAAATAAGTAATCTTAAATTCGATAGTGAATAGTAATAACATCTTTGTTTCCGGCGTCAAAACTTTGCTTTACTCATTGTGGGATTAAATTCCCAATACGTAGCTCAATCCACCAATGCTTCCATTTTACACGTTAGAGTCTTAGAGGCTGGCTTTTCAAGCCAAGACTATGTATACCGTCAAAAGTCCATTATAATTAACCACCACTGATTAAACTAATTGTTGTGAGCTTGTTTAGTTCTGACATTTACATTCCTAACTCAAAGAAAAACAATGCCCAATCTGAAATATTTTGATAGTTTAGTACTTACATCTACTATATAACTCTACTATATATGTATATGTCATACGTGTGAGAATGAGATATAACATCAACCATCATTATTGTAACACAAATGAAGTAATGATGTAATAAGAATCAAGTTCAGTACTATTTCTGTTTACCAAATCTGATAACATGAGAACTTAATATATAAACAAAACGTGAAATATAGCTGGACCAATGTCTGTTTCAAACGGAAAAACTATCTTGCATTAGTGTTAACATTAAATACATGTTATAGTTATATATTTTCAAATTTCAAACGTAAATGTAAAAAAAACTTATAATCATGGATCTTAATCAATAAGGAAAAATTGAAGTGCCATCACGGTGGGATTAATACGCAGAGCTGTTTTTTTTTCTTGATCACTACTATAACACAAAACTAGCATACAAACATGTTTTAGGATAGCCTATACTCCTGTCTAAAGTACACGATTAAAAGATATAAATATATAAAACAAGTCTGCAAAACTGAACATTAATCTTTATCAAATTAAATATATATGTTACACCATTTTTAGCATTTTTAAATCCTCAAGGAGCAAACTCAAACATTCAAGATCCAACAAGACTAGAAACTACATTACAAAGAGCAAACAATAACCCGATAATTGCAATAAAAGAATGTTCATACATTCATATATTCATATATAAACTTATACCACACCTGGCTAAGCCGAAACTAGGGTTTTCTCGTGTGTGTATCAGTGTATGTATGTACATTCCCTAGGGTTTACAGTGTCGTAAAATGAAACGAATATACGTCAAAATTCGTCATTTTAATTTAAGCCCACATATAGCTAAGCAAGTGATGGTTATGAATCTGATTCACATGTTATTTATAAAAAGATCATAGAAGTAAGATTTCTTGTAGTATGGCGTATGTATAAAACTCAAGTCTGCAACAAAAGCTTACTATCAAGATGTATTTAATACATATGTAGAATTGCTACAGATCAGAAACGTGGTAAGTAAATAGAGATCGATTATATATAAAGAAATGCTTACCATTAATTAACCCCACTGTTGTTTTATTAATATTTTGTTTGCTTCCGCTAAGAAGGCAAGTTGGAGCTACTAGTAGTTCCCGTAGTACCATCTTCACCATCATGACTCTTCATTGGATTCCTCTTCTTCCTCTTCTTCCTTTTCTTGTACGGAACTCCTCTTGCCTTCGCCTGTGAATCTCTCACTTCCCTCAGAAAAACCCTAATTCCGCCGCCGGCAAAAGGGTTTCTCTCCGGCAACCCTCCGTTCTCCTCGAAAGCCGCTCTTAGCCGTCCGATCAAAGCATCTAAACTCCCCCACGCTTGTTTCAAAGGACAGTTACACTGTCCCGCTGGCTCAACCTGTCCGAAGAAAACGCATCCATGGATATGAACCTTTGTCTTCCCGAATTGGTCGAGATATTGGAGGAAATCTAGGATGTGGTTTGAGCCACACTGCGAGATGTGAACCGGTGGCTGTTGGTTACGCAGGTATTGACAAAACGTGTTCCAGTCTCGCCTTTTCTGTGACTCGTACCGGCTTAACGCTGGCGGGTTAGGAGGTGATTGCGGTTGGTGTGGTTGTGGTTGCGGTTGAGACGATCCTTCTGCTATTCCTTTACCTTTGTTGCTAGTACTAGCCATGGTAGATCGTTGATGGTTAAGTTGATATGATCTTCACCTCATAGCTAGTAGAGATAATTCATCAAAAAGAAAAAAAAAAAAAAGGTTTTTCTATCTTTGGTCTTGGAAGGAGAAGAAGAGGGGAATATGGAGAAACTATGTCAATGATGGTGGGGGAAAACTTTAGAAAAATTTTGTACACTAATTAGAAATAGTCTTATTATATTCTCGCGTAAATTATTTGATGGGAATATATATATATACACACACGTAGCATCAAATCAATAAGGGGTAAAAAAAACTAAAAGCAAGTGTTCTTCTATATATTATTTCCCTTTATTTTTCTTGTCAGCAAAATCTAGTGATCTATAAATATAATTAATCAACCTCCAATAAATCATTTTTTATAAGTTCGTTTTTAGTTGAAACTTGAAAGTAAAGTGATTGCTCTCCAGATTTATTTCAAGCCAAACATACTTAAAACGTAGATGTATACAAATTAAACTAATTAAGTAAATGGAAATTAAGTAGATGATTATTTTTGGGATTATCAAGTTAAGTGATAGATGAGGGAGACAGGAGCTGGGACCTGCAAGAGTGCTTTAGTTCTTTTTTTTTCAATCGGTAGACCTATCAAATTATTTTCCCTTCCTTTAATCTGTACGATTAGCATTTAAGTATTGTTTACTAACTTTATTTAAATATATTTGTTGCTATGAAAATTATAATTATGTTTCCATTCAGCTTAGCAATCATTGTCAGACGAATATTGCCGCCCTATCATGTGTAAGTGTAACAAAGGAAAAAACGAAAACAATACTGGAATAGAGAAATAACACAAACACTGTTGTTTTTCTTTGTTAAGCATAAATTTTAGATAAAAAGTATGATCTAGTACTGGTAGAAATATGTCTACGGATTCATGCGTTTTCTTTGTCGTGCATGTAAACTGGAAACAGTGAAAAAACAAACATAAGAAGGATGTCGATACATCTATAATTAATAGGCCTATAAATAAAGCCCAATGGACCTTGTATTCTGCCAAACTCCCACCCCGCTCTATGATTATAAAATGTTATCAAAACAAATATGATTCTCTCAAATAGAACCAGACATATAATCTATGGAGGTCCCAATCCCAAAGATCCGCGATGGACGCTTGCATTTACTTATTTAAAGTTTTGTCATCTACAGAATTCTAATGTTATTGGATTATATTAATAAATTTGTTGTTAAACTTAATTAAGACTAAGGATAGTCCTTTTTGGCTGCCACTGAAGCACTGACCAATCGTTTACTATAAAATTTCTAATAAACTAGGTGAATATCCATTATTCAAGGGTTGGTTGAATAGTTTTTTTCTTTCTAAAATGATAGCATAACTTTTGTGGTTAAAAGAAGGATTCCCTTTGTTTATATTTAAAACCATTACCTACCTACTCTCCTAGGATATGATTCTTCCTAATTTTCAATAAATTTGTGTTTTTTTATTTATTTTCTTGCAGATACTCATTCAACCAAGAAAAGAAAAATCTCAGTAATCAGTCGTATGCATAGAGAAAATGGTCCCACGGCATAATCATTAACTAACAGAAAATTATGAAATGTACAACAATATCGAGTTGTCTCAAAAAATTTTTTTTTTCTTTTCTCCGTTGTCTCAATGTTATTTATACAAAACAAAAGCATTAATTGCATTCAGTATTGTATAAAGGACACATTAGAATGATCGACTATTACTTTGAAAATCTGAGGAACATCGATTATTATTTTCCCTTTTGATAATGTCAAACTTGACTAGGACTGGGCATATCACTCTAGTAGACAAAAACAAAAACGGTGAATCATTACAACAACACCGATTATGGAATAAATCTCTGAGAATTCTTCAGTAAAAATAAAACTCGCTAATATTTGATATAAGCAACGGAAGAAGTGTTGGCGTCTTTGATGAGTGTACCAAGAAGAGGAGCAAGCAAACACTTCTTGTCCTTCTCCTTGTAGAAGTAACCCAAACACTTGCAATCACGATCGCATTTAGCCTTGCAATCGTTCACAGAAGTTGGGCCTTGTCCACCATTAACATAAGGCCCAGTAAAATGCTCAACACCGACTATCTTGTAATAATTGACAGTTTTACCCTTGCCTCCGCCACAAAACTGCGTCGTCTTAGGTGGTGCGCATTTATCACTCCAAGCTAACAGACCTTTCGGTGTAGGGCATCCGACGCACATTCCTCGATTGCAGTAACCGTAATCGCCGCAAAACGTCGGCAAACCGCATTGACGGACGAAGTAAGTGGAGAAGAATGAGAAACTCTCTTCCCATTCAAGATACGTCGCGACTGGGAAATACGAGTAAGCCTTGAGACTCCCGTCAGATCCGAGTCTGAGATACGAAATCGTTCCGTTGTAATTGATTTTGTTCAGATTTAAAGTTCCTCCTCCGCTTCCGATTGGTCTGACTTGGAGTAACCGGCGGTTATTACCCGGATTTGTAGCGGGTTGTGGTGCGGGTTCTAGGAGAAGCTCGTAAGCTGACGGCTCCGTTAAATTGTCGAACTCTCTTGTAACAGCGAACGTGACGGTGCCGCGGAAATCGTGATCCGGCCATCCACCGTAAACTAACGGCTTACCGGTTCTGTTAACGTACATGGTTAAACCTTTGTTTTCCAGCACCATGCTGTACGGACCATCGGAGCCGTTCATAGCAGATGTCCGGCTAACGAGTTTGTTAACACCGTTAACTTTTAGGGATTGGCCGACGAGGAGTGTATCGGTTGGGTGATCAAAACTCTGCCAAACGAATTTTCCATGTTTGTCGTGTAGCACCATGTTGCCGTTGGGCAAGATCTCGAATCCGGTGACACCTTTGTTGGCTGTGTTAGTCTGCCACTTGACATGGCCGTTTAACTCAGCGAGCACAAGGTTGCCGTTGCGGCCGAGTGAGAGTGTGGAGTTGTCACCGACGGGGTTGTTGCGATTGGCGTCCCAAATCCAACGCGTGAAACTCATGTCACGCCTGGATCCGACTCGGAGAGCTAAAACGTAGGCGCTAGGAGTAGTATTGTAGAACATGAGCTGGAAAGGAAATGTGAAGAAGTCCTGATTCGGTGAGTCGAGGAATCGGTAACTCGCGTCGTACTCGGTTATGTATGGGGCGTAGGAGGGTTCGTTGAGGACTCTGAATTGTTTCTCGGGAGGGACTTGGGCCATGACCACCGAAACAGTGGAAATGGCAAGTGCCGTGATTACTAAGAAATCAAATCGAAGCATGATTGTGCTCTTTACGTTTGCTGAGATTTAGTGGAGTGAGATGATTTTCTAAAAGTTGTATCCTTTGTGTGTATATATAAGATCTTCGCTTTGGATTTTGGGCTATATTCGTTTGAAAAGTCCCAAGTTTTTGTGTTTTAGACTTTTAGCTGAAAAGTCCAAGTTGCATAATTGTGACTTCGTTATACAGATCAACCAATGGCTCATTTATGATTTGGATAAGATAAGTCTACTGAGAATTTTCGAAAATTCTCGTAATTATTGTTCTTTGAGTAAAGCCCTAATTACATATTGTTCTGTCAGAAATATATGATGATTATACGATTTACTCTTACCCTTTTGTATAACTAATCTCATGAAAATTGTTCAGACAAAGTTTACCTTAACTTCTTAAATAAGCTTTGTGTCCAAAAAAAAAAGAGAAGCTTTTCTCAAACTAGCTATATCAATTTCTCGATTTTACCGTCTTGTATACTGTAAATACTATGAAGTAATTTTATATATACTAAACTACACAATCCCCCCAGGCCCCAACCCGCCACTAGACTGTCGTATATTACAAATCATATTTTCATCCGAGATAATGCTAACAGATATAAAAACATTTACGCCAGCTTTAACAGTTAAAAATCAAAACTCACGATATTACCTTGTGATGATCGAATCTATTATGTAAGTTAAAACATCAAAACTTGTATAGCAGCCGGGCAAGCATTCTCTTTCTATTAATGATAAGTAACAACTGTCGATTTGAAAAGTAAGACCACAAAACTTGTATTTACAACTCTGTCCGAATGGACGTGGTACGTGGACCACACGGTGTGTCCGATTAAGATAGAATTATTGGGCTATGACAGAGCCTAAAGGCCCAATGAGTTGAAGAAGTGATAAAAGTGTTTTTTTTTTTGACAATATGAGTCCGACTGACCCACTACAATCCTCCATTGAATTAACCAAGTGAGGACTCGTCCAAGTGGAGGACCAGTGGACTACAAAACTCTGGTCAGAGGCAAACGAAACAATGAAAAGTTTCACATGGTATTTTGATTCTAAAAGGTACTATATATATATATATAGTAAATAAAGCCAATGGCTTTGAAATGAAAGAGGTAGTACAGTAATTTAACGGTGCATCATTACAAAGCACACCAATTATTCATTAATTCTCTAAGAATTCAAGTAGAATTCGGTATATAAATCTTGCGATAAAACACTAATATTTGATATAAGCAACAGAAGAAGTGTTGGCATCTTTGAGAAGTGTACCGAGAAGAGGAGCAAGCAAACACTTCTTGTCTTTCTCCTTGTAGAAGTAACCCAAACACTTGCAATCACGATCGCACTTGGCCTTGCAATCGTTCACAGAAGTTGGGCCTTGTCCATCATTAACATAAGGCCCAGTAAAATGCTCAACACCGACTATCTTGTAATAATTGACAGCTTTTCCGCTGCAAAACTGTGTCGTTTTAGGTGGTGCGCATTTATTGCTCCATCCGAGTAATCCTTTTGGTGTAGGACACGCGATGCACATCCCTCGATCGCAGTAACCGTAATCGCCGCAAAACGACGGTAGGCCACATTGACGGACGAAGTAAGTGGAGAAGAATGAGAAACTCTCTTCCCATTTGAGATACGTAGCTGGTGGGAAATACGAGTAAGCCTTGAGACTCCCGTCAGATCCGAGTCTGAGATACGAAATCGTTCCGTTGTAATTGATTTTGTTCAGATTTAAAGTTCCTCCTCCGCTTCCGATTGGTCTAACTTGGAGTAACCGGCGGTTATTACCCGGATTTGTAGCGGGTTGTGGTGCGGGTTCTAGGAGAAGCTCGTAAGCTGACGGCTCCGTTAAATTATCGAACTCTCTTGTAACGGCGAACGTTACGGTGCCGCGGAAATCGTGATCCGGCCATCCGCCGTAAACTAACGGCGTACCGGTTTTGTTAACGTACATGGTTAAACCTTTGTTGTCCAG